CTTTTACAGAAAGTTTTACTTTTTCTTGCAACATGTGTCTCTCCTGCCATTAGGGAAGGAAATCCTGGGAAATGTGAGACTCTCTTAGGTAATTAACTTTCAAATCAATAGCAGAGATCTGAAGGCTAGCACAGGGCGGGTAGGAAATGCAAAATGATTTTTACCTAACAAAGAAGTGTGAATGAATGAATGAACATGTGACAATAGGAATAGTCAGACAAGGACAGGGAAAGCATTATGGCCTGATAAAGGCAGAACAATCCATCACAACAATAGTATCTTTAATTCTCCTTAATGCTGTGTTGCAGTGTTTGAATTACAGTTGGATTTTGTTATCTATGCATACACAGAACTAAGGAATTTAGCTGCCTAGAAAAACAACACACAGGCCTACAAAACCTTGTGACTCACCTAAGCCATGCAAAGAACAGCCTGGGACTCTTACCACAGAGTACCTGGAATTTCTTGGACTTTGGGGCTGGTTATATCTAGAAACATCTCTCTGGCATCTCTAGCCTTTTTGCAGGAGTGAATTTTTTAGGCAAAAAGGGGCTGCCTAAAACTATGGCTTGTAACCACCTAAGCCATTTTATTTTGTCTGTGTTTATTTGCACTTCAGTATCAGTGTGTTGCAGGTATCCTAACACTGAATGCTGATTTACAACCAGATAGAAACCATCTGTAAATGTAAGCTTTGTGCAAAGTGAGACATTTCTTATTTCTGCTTTCCTTCTCCTACTGAGAGGGGTCTGCTCAAGGCAGCTGGCAGAGCTGATGGGGAAGAAGCAGGGTTTCTTCTCTGTCTGACACTGAGCTTAGAGCTGAGAGGAGCACTTCATTTTTCTTGTCTCTTCAGTAGCTAAATCCTTTGTGGTTTTACTGTTTCTGAAATAATAAAGTCAGTCTGGAGTCAAAGGGAAGCCCTTCTCAATTCTCAGGAAAATACAAGGATGAAGTAACCTTGGTCTTTCCCAAGCTAGTGAGCAAACATTTTCTGCTGGTGACTTTCCCTGGCTGGGAAAGCAGAAGCATTTCCCACAAATAAAACTCTATCCTGCAAATGACAAGGAAGCTGCTCTGCCCAGAGTCCATAATTCAGATCTGGGAACATCTTAGCCAAGGGCCAAGATAATTAGCTAAGGGAAGACAGCCCAGGAGACAAAACATTGGTTTTCTCTGTGCAATTTGCCAAAGCTAAATTAATTCTCATGTTCCAGTGGGAATCTGCCTTTTCTTAACCTAGATTTCATTACAAAACCTGTGAAAATTATGGAAGCCTCCAAACTGGCACTGTGTGTACAAAACAATGCTACTGTTCAGGAGCAGAAATGTACTCCAGTGTCCCAGTTGTAATGGGGAGGTAGGTTTATTTTTATAGGTTCTTTCCTTCCTTATCTTGCTTGGAAAAGGAAAATGTGCCTTCACTAATGTGGAGAATCAAGTAAATGGGCCAAGGCTGTGCCCTGCAGAGAGGTTTTTGGTTTTTGTTTTTTTTTTTGCCAAATTCTTTTAGCCCTTTCTGCTGTATGTTTGGAATATTTTAGACACAAGGAATAACAGGAATGATTTATGCCACAAATTGTTTCATAGTTTTTTTTCTTTTCAAATCTGTTGCCTCACAGTCTAAAAATCTTAAGAAATATATACAGGAAGATCTGTGAGTAGTGGTATAATTCCTCCAAGGGCCTTGTCAACCTTAGGGCCAATACATTTATTATCATTTAAGCCTGACATACTGATCTCATTGTGAGACCTGCTCCTCACATGAGTGGTTGTAATGCTCCTGAGTGTGTATGTTGACTTCCACAGGACTATTTCTGTCTTAATTTTGCAGAGCTGGTCTTAAATGTGTTTCAATCTATCCTTATTACAGGACAGATTTTCCCTTAGTGGGGAAAACCTGGTGAAATACAGAAGGATGTGAGGGCAGAATCTGGATCAGTTCATACTGAGAGCAAGGAAAGTTATTTTTTCTCTTTAAAACAACCAAGCCAATATAGATACACTATTTGGAGGGAGTTTGGTTTTTAATTCTCAGTATATTTGACCTTCAAAAGGACATAAAACAATGCATTTCAGAGGTGTGCTGCCTACAAGCTCAGCTCCTGGTAGTGTCTGTACAGCTGAGAAAAGTGAAAACAATGAAACAGACACTTTTTAGTTCCCAGTGAGAAAAAAGGAAACTGGCAGCCTTTTCTTGCTTTATTGTTAAATATCTCTATTTAAATGCAAATCATCATCTGACACTGCCAAACAAAGTCATGTAACAGCAGCAGGCATGCAAGTTAAAAAAAATTTTAAAATGATGTTTTGAAGATGCTGAATTGCTTTTATTTCCAGGAGGAATAGAGGTGGCTGAATAAATTTTTGGCTGCATAGCGAGGCGAGGCTCAGCACATAGGTGCTTCAGATACAAGGATTTGTATTTTAAGTACAACTTTTACAGAGGTGTGGGCAGGCTCTCTAGTTAGGGATCACTTGGAGGGATGCTGAAGTTTCTTCTGTGTTATCCCACAGCAGTATTACAGTGGAAAGCCAAGTGTTTACAGAATGTTTTGGGACAAAAAGGGGCAGGAGCAGCCAAATTGCTGCCTTATTGTGCCTCAGGAATGTGTATTTACAAGTGACCTGTGCTTTATGGTGCTGTGTGCAGGGTCTCCAGCTTCCTCCCTGAGCTCCAGACCTCTGAGCCCAGAGAGGGATGAGACTGGACCTCAAGGAAGGACTGGGATAGAGGAGAGTCTTGCCTGAGGAGCCCACATTGTGAGTGGGTTGTGGCTCCTGAGCTGCCCCAGCAGGGATGGGAGGGTTCCCTGAGTGTGCATCCATCCTGCTCCTCCTGCTGATCAGGAGTAGCTAGTTAATAAAACCCACCTCCAGGGGAACATTTCTATTCAGTCCAGCAAGTCCCAAAATCAGCTAACAACCTGTATCTTATCAAGGCTCATCTGTTAAAATTCTTCCTTTAATTTGCTGTTTACCTCACCATTCTGAGCTTTCATTCTTATAAATCAGTGTGGATATATTTGCTTTCTGTGCAGGGTTCCAGTAGTCTCTTAATAATCATAATAATCGTTATTACTGATTAAAGTTGCATTATTCATGCCAGATGGAGTGCCCTCCCTGTCAGCCAGAATGAGTTTGCATTTATGTAGTTATAGTACATTTGTGATCTAAATAAACAGATGGTAGAAGGTGACAGAGAATTATGTGCTGGTGATATCAGCAACAATGTTTCCCAAGTATAATTGCTTTAAATGAACATGAATGCAACAAGGAGCTGGTAGCTTTAACAAGGTAGTTGGCATTCAGTGTGGTAATTACCAGGCAGCATCATCAATAGCACCAGGAATGCCAGGGGAGGAATGCTGGCTTTGAAAAATTAGTGACAGAGAGTCTGACTTCACATGGCCATCAGGGTGGGTTTGCTCAGCTCTGTAGCATCTCACAGGTGTGAGCACGCTGCTGTAAGAGGGGCAGTGTTTATCTTTAGGGTGATCCAGCCTCAGCTGAGAGACATTTTGCATTTTCTCCAGCGCCAACTCCCATCAGGGCACATGGCAAGTATTTGATTTAGTGTAATGGAGCAGTGTTAGCAGCAGCAGCTGTTAATACACGATTGAAAGGATTGAACCTGGATCAGGTTCAAAGGGGAAATTCACTTAACAGAATCTCAGCAGTACTCAGTGATGTATAAAAGTTTAATCAAACACAAGGTTGGCTTCCTGCGATCAAAAGCGCAGCGATAAGGACTGTGCAGAGTCTTCCACGAGATTTACGTTGGGTGTCTCACTCACCCCATCAGCTCTGGCTTTGTGAAGGGCAGACCTGCCTGCCCCTCGGGTACTGCCACACCTGGGAGTGTGCCTGGACCTTGGCCATGTCCAGATGGCAGCCATGGAATGGGGTCTCCCTTCCCTCTCAGCCCAGACGGGTGTGGGACTGTCCGAGTGCTCTCTCCTGAGGTGTGGGACTGTCCGAGTGCTCTCTCCTGTGGTGCTGAAGTGCAGCCAGAGGAGAACATTCCAGCTCTTCTCCTTGCTTGCCAGTCCCTCTCACATGGGTCAGCATTTTGCCATGACATGGACACATGAACTGAACTCCCACCTCAGTCCAAGTGGATTTCAGTCACTAATTACTAGGTAGTTCATAAAAAGCTTCTGTTGCTAATGCTTCTTCTTACAGCTGCGTTTTACAGTGAAAGCACCTACAGTTCTTTTTCTTCAGGGACTAAACCTGTCAGTGTAGGCACAGAGTTTGTGGTGATTTGGAGTGGGGCTGGGCCCAGCCTCATCCCCAGTGGGCACAGCTGTGCAGGACAGGTGAATGCTATTGAAGGGAACGAGCCATGGAGTGCCCAGGGGCACTGACCAACCACCAAAGGGAACAGAGGGCACACAGGTGCAGTGCATCAACAGGAGGGGATAAAAGGCTGGGCTGAAGAGCAAGAAGGGCAGATGCTTGCAGCCTGCTGAAGAGGTGAGGTGTTACTGTGCATGGGCAAATGCTTAAAGCTTTCTGGAATTGTGTGGTGATGCTCTGTGCATTGTAGCTGTCTCAACTGTGACAATTGTTCAGATGAAATTGGACAGGAGGTAAGTACCTGTATAGCTTTTCCTGCATAGCCATCTCCTCTCCTGTGAAGGAATCAGCAGCTTTTACATAGGCTGTGGAAAGCAATAGTGATGGCACTGAGTGATGACATTGTTCCTAAACCCTCCAGACTTGCTCATACTTCTTTTTGGTTTAAAATGTCTGTGTCATTATGCATAGCAAAAATGTATTTATAGTATAAAGCATTTAGATAAGTACCTGTATTTCCTAAAAGTTTGACACCAGGTCTGGTGTTTTAGTTGGGCCTTTTTTATAGGCACTGTTTCAACCTTGCTGAAGTATAAAAACCATTCAAAGACAAGGACTCTCATCTTTTCATTTGCTGGATGTTGAAGGAATGAAAGGAAGGCACATTTCCAATCTCTCTCTTTCTGTCTGTCCTGCAGGTGGTCGTTGCCACAAGTCCTGCACAGGACGGTGCTGGGGACCCACAGAGAATCACTGCCAGACCTGTAAGTGTGTAAGAGTGAGGAACAAAGGGCTGGAAAACAATGTAGCAGAGATCCTACTTTTTTTTTCTTTCAGTTGTGAAGAGATACTATAAATTCTGGGTTCAGTATAACTCTAAAATGTACCAGGGGTTTTTTCCCCCCATATATTTTTATCAATAGATTATTTGCCTTTTTTTCCCTACCCATGTGAATGATATGTGTCTTTCCTCCCTTGGGATTTCTAAAACTCCTTATGCTAACTTGAATTTTCTTTTCACTACTGGGTGGCAACATGGAGCATGGCTCTTGAGAATATTGATGGCAGATTTGGAGCTCTTTAATGACCACCTGACACGGCAATGTTCCTGATGCCAAAATACTCTGTTAATTTCAATGGTAGCTTGGGAATATTAGTTATCTTGCAGAACTGTTTTCTTTACAATAACTTCAGAATATATTTGAATTGTACTGGAAGAGAGAATAATAGCTTTTTTGTGAAGGAAGTAGTAAGTGAAGGGTCACTTGTGCTGTGTTTCTGTCCTTGTGAATTTAGAGAGCATGAAAATGAATTCCTTCTTCCTTCCTGAAGGAGCTTTAAGTTCCTTCACATAGGCACAAAAGAGCCAGAAGTACAGTCACAATATTAGCAGATAATAATAAAAGAGGAGAAAATTGAGGGCTGTTTTTTCTACAAGTTTTTTTCTTTTTCCTGCTTACAGGAGGGTGAAAACCAGTTGCCTTTACTGGAATCACTCTCCCTGGGAAATGAAGTGTTTGCTGGGAGCTCCCCCACAGAACACTTTCCCAGCTTATTTCCTTGGCTGAGCTGTAAATGGGAGGAAGGACTGTGACAAATGAGCCACTCCCAGGGGAGCACCCCAAGTAAGCTCTGAGCTAAGGAGAGTCAGCCCAGAGTCATCTGCCTCTTTCCTGGGGCTGGGTAGGAACAGTGCAGAGATGCTGCTTTTGGGGGTGTTTTGGGGGGTTTTTTGGTTGGTTTTTAGTGTCTTAGAGTAAGAGAGAGAATGGAGTTAGAACTGTCAGACAGCTTGAGGTGAAGGTCGGATGAGTCTGAGCAGGAAATCCAAGCTGCCCTGCTGCCCCAGTACCTGCAGAGACCCTGCCAGGAGCTGCTTTCCCTTTAGGAGCATCAGCTGATTCTGCTGGAGAAGTTGCTCACAGTTCCAGCTGTGTTCTTGTATCACTGCTTCATATTTATCTGCAGGCATGGTTAAAACCCCCTCAGGACATACTCTAGGACTAAGGGACAGTGATGCAGAGCAGATTCTTCTTTGTCTGAATTGAGCTGGGACATCTCCTTCCTCTGCTCACAGCCTTTATGAAGGCACTGAGGAAGTCAGTGCTCCTTAACCAGGAAAAGAAGTAGATTCTGGGTTGTGTGCTTAAGTAGATAATGGAAAGGGACTAAACCCTGCCTGACCAAATTGTTTTATATCATGATTAGAATTAATTCATGCTGGTTTTTTTCCCCTCTGGCCTGATAAGAAGCTTGTTTTTCTGTTAAAACTAGTAACTTTGTAAGAAGCTGCATAACCCATCCAAATGGGTAGATTTATTCAGGCCTTCTGTGGTTATCGTATCCAAGAATAGTTTAAAATAGTTCTTTGCAGTTATGTTCTGTAAGGAGCCCATGGTGCTGGTTCAGGCTGTGTCTCCATCCTCATGGCAAGTCCAGCTGTGTTCCTGCAGAGGTCCATGTGGCAGGATCAGCTCCCATGGTCTCAGCCTGCTCTCAGATAAGGGAGCTGATTGGTGGATTAAAGTGGAATTAACAGAGAGGGAAGAGTTTATCCGCAGGGCTGGGAAGGCAGGAGCTCAGCAGGGCTGCACACAAGGCTGGCTCCAGGAGTGACAGCTCTCAGTGGCTGCCCTTGCAAATCCAAACAGTGGGGACAGGCTAAGGCACAACCATGGGGTTCAAATATTAAATTAAGAAAAGCCATAACCCATCCAAGTGTCAGGGAGATACACAGATCACACTCTTCTTCTTGAGTAGCTACTCCACAACCTTCAAGCCCACTCTGATGGTCAAGGACAGGAATTAGTTTTACATCACAGACTTCTTCTCTGCCTCCATGGCCTCGCTGCACCTTGGACAAGCAGCAGGATTGAAGGAAGAGGCTGGCAAAGGGTATTTCTTCATTGGGTTTTTGCACAATGTGTTTCCTTCAAAATGAGTGAAGCAAAGAGGGAGAATTTGAGTAGGGGCTCAAAACATAAAAATGCAAGTGGGATTATGCTTTTGCTGCCTTAATGTATGATTTTAAAAGACATACCTGGCTTTTGGGCTCACAAATGTTGTTAGATACAAGCTGTGTTGTGCACACTGTGTCTACCTTAACCCTGTCACCTTGGATGTACTTCTGTCCAACACATGTAGGAAAATGCTCCAGCAGTGCTACATCCAGTGCCAAACCATTTTGATCCTAGAAGCAACTCAGAGCTTCATTTTGATAATTTCTTTTTTTTTATTGAGGATTGAAGCAAAAAAATTTAATGAGCCCCCCTCCCAAGATAAGATTTAAATTATTTTCCTGGGAAAGGATAAAAAATGAAAGATCTTAATCCATGTCTTTCATTTCAAATTACATATGGAAAAAAAAACCAAATCCCTTTGTTTTTTTCATTAATATCATCTACCTAGCTGCTTATGTTGCCTTCCAGCAATGTCTTTGTTGCTAAGTCTGTCTGAAACACCACCTGCATCTAACTCTGTTCTAATGTCTCTCTAAATGTGACAAGAAAATTCATGTATTTAAGAAGACAATTAATAGGAAATTTAAGCCAAGCTGTTCTGTTAGGAGATAGAGAAGATAAAATTCAGGATGCTGTTATACACAGTTAGCAATCCTTTTTACTTTTATAATTAAAATATTAGTAGATGCTAATAGGAAGGATTTGAAATTGAGATGATATAACTTGTTTCAGTGTCAGGAAAATCTGATATGAAAATACTTTAAAAAAGACTCTGTTTTTCAAATTGTTTTGGGCACACACTGAATAGAATGCAAACCACTTTAAAAATAATAACAAATGCCTTTGGAAGTTACTAATTAAATTTGAAAATCTATGGTTAGGTTGTTAAAATTTTTGCTGTTCATGTCTGTTAAGAGTTTGATGCAGAAATTAAAACTTTTACAATTCAATATATTTTTAAAGTGACAGATTATGCACTTTTTCCCGGAGGATTGTAACTGAAAACACAACAATCTAAATTAGAATATAGACCCAACTAAGGGAATGCAAAAAAACAAATATAACCTATAAATCAAACCTGAAACACAAAACATGTAGCAAGTGTCAAGTGCACCTTGACTCTGTGTAGGCACAGGAGTGTGGTCAGGGCACAGCTGTATTTATACTGTCCTTGTGCAGCTGGTGTTACTGAGAAGGTGCCAAATTAGAGCAGCCAAAGGCAAGCAGGATCCTGGTGGGGCACACAGAAAGAGCTGAACCAGCAGCTGGGATCAATCAGGGAAACCCACACTTCTGCTTGGAGCCAGCATCTTTAATTAAAACCCTTGTACTGCTTTAGTAACTTTGCGTGTTGGGAACACTTTCATTGATTTCAGTTACTTCCCATTTTTGCCCTCATGGATTGGTATTGTCCTGACACAATTAAAGATGAGGGGAAAATATAAAGGAGACTGATCATTTGCACATGTACATGAAGTGGTCATTTCATCACAGTTTATTGCAATGAAATGTTGGTAGAAGTTGACAGTCTCACCCAGGAATCCATCTCAATGCACAGCAAATTTTTCAGGACTTTGGTGTTTATCCTTTGGTCCTGGCCTGACTGTGACAGTTCTGTGCAGTTGAACCCTCCAAATTCTTGGGATCATGCACAGGATCTGTAGGAATCCAGGCAGGTAGTTGTGCTGACCCTCAAAAAGTCTAATTTGAAGCTTGGGGTCTCAGCTGGGATTAGTGAAGCTCTCCTCACTATTGTGTTGGGTGAAGATATGAGTGCCAGGCACCTGAAATGCCAAATAGTTTGACATTTTGGGCAACATTTATAATTCAGATAGGTCTTGAGTTACAGCTATAAAATCAATTTATTGTATTTGGGGGGTGGGGAGGGGGAAGCTTGTTCTCTTTTAAACCAGTGCAGCTAGGGGTTACCCCTTGAGAATGATTGCAGGAAGCTGAAGTGGTGAGTGGTGTTTATTGGCATCTGAGCAATCAGATTGTTTCAGGCCTTCAGAAAATAGACAGAACTGCCTTGTGTTTGTTTTGGCTTGGGGAAAGACCTTAAGTCCTCAAGATCCAGAGCCTGCCAAGCTCATTAATGTCTTGGGGTGTGTGGTGCCACTGAAGACACCTGACAGGTTCTCCACAGACCTGGGCTTTCAGTAGCAGCTATAATGCAAATATGGCACACAGTGAAGCAGGAGATAGATAGGATATCTTCTGGCCTTTTCCTAGAACAACACACTGGCATTTCTGTGGGCATTGTTTGTTTTCCCTGAAAAACAAACTAGGGAAGAACAGTGACAAACCTTTGCTTTAATTAATTTTGCTTCAGGAAAACCCACAGTGTTCCCTATCCTGAAAAGCATGGTAGAGGCCCTCTTTGAGCTGGTGTCTAACCAGAAGCAAAATATGCTTTTTGAAGGCATCCAGTTCAAATATTGTGCTGAAGAGAGGAAAGAGAGGGCTGTGTTCCCCCAGATCAGCCCTGGTGTGAATGGCCCATCCCAAGATCAACCCCAAAACCTTGATGTTATCAGCACTGTGGTCCAGCCAACTGAGCTGTTCCTCCAGGAGGAACCAGTGGCTCCATGGACAGGGTGGATATTGTGGCCCACACCCAACAGCAGCTGATTAATCAGAAATTAATTTGGTGGCTCCCACGGATTACCCACACAGAGGGGCCTTACACCAAAACTTCCTGGGGTTTAAGTAGAATGTCCAAAAGCTGTGGGGCACAGCAAGGAATGCATTTAGCAGTGGGCTCCATGCATGGCCTTGAGGCACAGCCACGAGGTAAAATGTGGCTGTGGCCATGTCAAAACACAAGTGCCATGGTGAGGGGGTGGCAGAGCCTTTGGGTGCTGGCCCTTGGCTCCAGGAGCAGCTGCTTCCTGGGCAATGGCACAGGTGACCACAGAGGGTTTGGGGTTTGTTTTTTTTTTCTTTTTCACAGAACTGGATGGCCTCTGTGCCCTCCACTGGGAATTTGGGCCCTCCTTCAGGTCAGGGTAAGACTGGGCTTTGCCTCTCTGTGAGGCACACAGTGCCCAGTCCAGGGCAAATCCTGAGCTGGTGGAAAACAAGACACACACTCACAGACTAGGGAAGGAATTTGTTCATTTTCATGAGCCAAGACTGTCACACAGTGTGCTGGTGGCACACAGCCACAGGTGCCATTGTTTCACATCTGTCTTAATGTTTATCAATACTGTCACTTAAATAAACAAATCTTTTTAATGTGCTTCTCTGGCAGTGTTGACAGTAAGTGCCTTCACAGAATTTCCCAAATTCCTCAAATTAGATTGCAAAACCACAAAAGCCTTTTCTTTCTCTCTGGGGGTTTTCCTCTGGTATCAGCAAGATGAAAATGCTCTAAAAGTGCATTGTTTTATTCTGTAGATCACAAACAATCCCTTCTCTTTAGTTATTTACATTTTTATGTCCTAAATAAATATGTAGCAAGAACTTTCAGCATTACCTTAAGTATTTCTGGCAAGTAGTGAAGGGATTTTGGATCAGAATGTACTTATAAAGATGATACTTATACATTAAAATAGTAGAATCGAGCAGAAAGTTGGATGGAATTTTGTTTGTTCTTACTTCCTGAAAAGTGTTTTCATCGAGAAGTAATTAAATGCTTTTTAAAAAATAGGTGTTGAAGGTTAATTGCAGAAGTGTATCATCCCAGTTTTTATCAAAAGACAGCTGACAGCATGGTAGGCAGTGGTGGCTGGTTTAGTTTGGATAATATTAATTTCTTTTTCCATAAAATAAAGATTTCAGCTGAGTGAGGGAGGGGAGGTGGATGGGCCACTGGGTGACCATTCTTTGCACAAGGTTAAGCCCTCAGTGGTGTGGAACAATCCAGCTGGTAGATGTCCTTGCTCCATTCTGTGAATGAAGGCAGGATTGTGTTAGTTAGAAATAGCAAGCGGTGTTTCCAAACGTTCTCCAAGGTTGCAGTTTGTTCTGCTCCCATTTGCCAAAGGGATTGCCACCAAGGGCAGCCTTTAGCTCCGACACTGGTGGTCTCACTCTGAATTTCATTCATTTATTCTGTGTTGCTGTTCTTGGTGGGGAAAACTCTCATGCAACTGGTGGGCTCTTCTGTTATTTCTGGGGGCAGGGGAGACAATGGCAAAACCTGTTTTAAAAAACTAATGATTTGAGAGTAACATTCCTTAGGAATTTCCAAGGCTAAGAGGGCACACTAAAAATTCCTTTTCCACAGTCCTTGAGCAATATGTGTGCCCCTAAAGAGGGGATCATGCAGGCATTTTGGATACAGATACTGTGCAGATACTCTGGATACAGGTGTCCTGAAGATGTTCTGGATACTGGTCTCCTGCAGGCATTCTGGATACAGATGTGCAGATGTTCTGGAATACAAGTGTTCTGCAGACATCCTGCATCAAGAGAAATATAGGTTGGATATTAGGAAGAGGTTTTTCACTGAAAGAGTGATGAAGTTCTGGAATGATTTGCCTGGGGAGGTGATGGAGTCAGCATTCCTGGATGCGTTTAAGAAAAGCCTGGATGTGGCACTGGGTGCCAGGGTTTAGTTGAGGTGTTGGGGCATGGGTTGGACTTGATGATCTTGAAGGTCACTTCCAACCTGGTGCTTCTGTGAACTCTGGAATACAAATGTCCTGTAGGCATCCTGGATGCAGGTGTTCTGGATGCAGGTGTCCTGCAGACGTTCTGGGTCCAAGTGTCCTGCAGATGTCCTGCAGATGTTCTGGGTCCAAGTGTCATGCAGGTGTCCTGGATCCAAGTGTCCTGCAGGTGTTCTGCAGACGTTCTGGGATCCAAGTGTCCTGCAGGTGTTCTGCAGACGTTCTGGGATCCAAGTGTCCTGCAGGTGTCCTGCAGATGTTCTGGGTCCAAGTGTCCTGCTGGTGTTCTGCAGACCTTCTGGGCCCAGGTGTCCTGCAGACCTTCTGGGCCCAGGTGTCCTGCAGACGTTCTGGGGTCCAAGTGTCCTGCAGACGTTCTGGGTCCGAGCACCAGCACCACTGAGGCGTTTCCCTCCCTCCCTGGTGGTTTTCCCAGCGCGCTGTGGGTGTTTTGCTCGGGGAGCAGTCGCAGAGCTCTGTGCCTGGCCCCGTGTGTGACGCTGTCCCTTTTTGTGCCCCGCAGTGACCAAGACCGTGTGTGCAGAGCAGTGTGACGGGCGCTGCTACGGGCCCTACGTCAGCGACTGCTGCCACCGCGAGTGCGCCGGCGGCTGCTACGGACCCAAGGACACAGACTGCTTTGTACGTGCCATCTGCCTTGTTCTTATTCCTCTTTCTTCTTCTTCCTGCCAATCACTCTGCAGAGTCTTAATGCTTTAATCCATGAAATTCACAGTTTCACCCTTCTAATGTACTGCATGCACACTCGCAGATTCAGGATGCAAATTTTTTAGCTTTTAGGATTTTTTATATTCTATTAACATCATTTATCTACTTAATATTACTCATTAACAGATCTATGAGATTTGTAAATACAGATTGGGAACTGTTAATATGCTTATCTCTGATTTTTATCTTTTTCTTTTCCAAAATTAGCTTTTAGAGGTGACAGCAGATTTTAAAAAGTATTTGTCATTATATTTGAACATGGCTTTTATTAATGCTCTGTGTGCTTTTCATATCAAAGGCAAGAGTAGTATTTAGATTCTCTGTGCAAGGTGTTCCCTGTTTCTGCCAGACTTAATTTAAATTCAGGTTTTTTACCGGGCATGCTTCTCTGTGGAGATGGAAGGAAAGTGGTTCCCAAAACGCACTCCCTCAAATGCATATTACTACATGTGTGCTTCAGATGGAAAGAAGAAATGGCTTTTTCTTTAAAGAAATACAACCTAAATATCCAAGTCTTTATAAAATCTGTCTTGTTTCTAATCCATTATTTCTAAGAGTTTTAGCAGCCTTAGAACCCGAAACTGATCTCAAAAAAATGTGTAGCTCATCACACTGGGTCGATGAGACAAGTTTTACTAATGGTTTCAAGGAAAGCAAACCTAGGTCTAAAGTAGAGTCAGAACCTGCACAGAGAAGTGAATTTTCAAAGATACCCATGTGCTCAAAGAGACAAATACCTGTGAAGTTGACTGCTGGGTGAGTTGGGAGGAAGGTATGGAAAATTGCATATATTTTGAAACTGTGGGCAAGTGACTTATAATTAACTGGCAAAAAAGCATCTTTCCCTGGCTGGCTCTAACTGCTTGATAGTGATAGGTTTTGTGCTTCAAAACCACACTCTAAATGCTGTTCTTTGGCTGTTGATGAAATGTAGTGGTGGCCTGACAGCCACCAAGAGTTTTTGCTAGAGCTGTTCTCTGTGGCCTTTCACAAGTAGATGCTCAGCACATATGGGGTGGGTGATCCAACAGTGTCTGGAAGTTCTCTGTTGGCTTTGAACTAGAGAGACAGGAAAATACCAGTCTTTCTTGTGTCATGGACAATATAAATAGGTAAAGGGAAGAGGAAAAATGTGGTCATTGGGTCCAAATGAGCATTGAGGAACATCCTCAGAGCTGATGTGTTGATGCTTTCAAGAGTTAAGGACTGTTACCAGTAAGTAAAACTTTACAAAAGGAAAGCCTTGTAAAATAATGGCTCAGGCCTGCTACTTTTGCTAAGTAGAAAAGAACTGTTTGAGAGAGACTCAGCTGAATTGGGGTAGAAAAACAATTTATATAACCATCATGTGTTCTTATAATGGTGTGTGGTGATGGCTGGATTATGTTTGTTATGATTTGAAGCCATGTAACTGATAAGGGCCTAACTGCTTAAAAAGGCCTGGTTTTTGCAATAAGTAACTCTCCTTTGCACCTGCCTGGGGACTCTGCATCACTCTGGACCCTCACCCACAAAGTTCAAGTTATTGGCAGCATAAGTTGGGTACTGCTGCAGCCTGAAAGTTAGACTGTCTGAGTTGTGGCAGCTGTGGATATACACATGCTAAAAATCAACTGGTATGTTTTTTCTGGTACAGCACAAAGGCATCCAGGGTTTATTCTCATTCCCTTCTGGCCCCAGAGCAATGTAAAAGAATTTCAGCAGGGGTCTGGCAATTTTCAGGCCTAGTCATTACTTGCTTAGACACAGTGGGTGAAGAGTGTAACCCTTTAGGCTATAGACAACTGTGCGTAGCTTTCAGCTAAGACACATAACTTTGTTTTTTCCCTGTGTATTTCCTGTGCTTTTATTCACAAATTAGCAGCATTTAGCACAAAGTGCTAGAAATTTGCATATATTATCGAAGCAATTACAAATGTATATAAAACATTTCAGTCATAAATTATAAGTTTTCAGATCTTCTAGATGAATTTTTCCTGAAAATTGCTATGTCTCCAAGGAGTATTGGTGTGCTTTATGCATTTGCTAAACTGTTATCAGAGAATTGTCATGTACATGATGGAGTACCTTTGAAGTCAACATGTAAGAAATTGGTTGAGGAAACAAACTAAATTAGTATTTATTAATAAGCAAAAGTACAGCTTATGAAGCATTACAAATCCTTTAGAGCATTATGGCATCTTGCAGCAGCATCCTGTTCTAAATACGGTTTTAATATCTGTAGATAAAATTCATCCATCCTCCTCCATCTGCTGCCATGCACTCATTTGCATATTCAGTTCTAAAAGCAAGACAGTAATCATCATCTGACATAAATGCAAGCAAACATGCTAAGGCAAAGTTTTACTGATGTTTTTATCTCAGATTCAAACTGGGTCTAGAACTTAAAATGCATAGGAGGGCCTGGCTGACTGCCTAGAGAACCAGAAAAGTCACACAACCCTATTTCTTGGCTGGACTTGCCATCCAGTCCTGAGTCAAGTGTTTATCTTGGTAAGGGTTAAAAAAATCTGTTTCTATGACAAAAACTGGCAGGTTTTATATTAGGCATTGTAAAGGACCAGGCAAGGCAGGATCAGCAGTTTTGCTTAGCACATGCTCCATGCAGGACAGTGCTTTAATCACAGATCTCCCTGCTCGTTCCTTTCAGCAGCAGATTTTGTCCTTGGATACATGATTAGCCCCTCCTTTCTGAAATCTTCTGGCATGGCAGGTCCCAGGGTCCTGCTGGTCCTGATCCAAATGGAGATAAGGACTGCTAGTAAAATCAGCAGAAGGGAGGAATCTTTTTCTCTTTTCTCTCAGTCCCAGCCCAGGAGGCAAGGGACAGGACGTGAATATTATTGTCATACTTGTTCACTCTTTAAAAATGTAGAGCCATCTTTTCTTTTAACAAAGTAAAATGGAAAAAGACCAGAAAGATTCACTCCTAGACTAACACTTCTAAAGCAGCCTGGATTACAGGTTAGTGAGGAGGCAATACCCAGTAACAGTGGCTGCTTAAACTGCTAGAGGGATCCAAGTCAGGCTACAGCTTTCATATTCATACAAATTTTTCATTCAGGGTATGCTCTGTGAAAATTACTCCAACAGTTTTCTTATAATCTGCAGTTAAATCTGTAGACATGATGTGTGCTGATAAGGAATGTCAGAATCGGTGGGGCTTTCTACTCCTAATTACCAACCTTGCATGGTCAATTGTTTTCCCTGCATCCCATTACTTTTGTTATCCACACACTCTCCTCTTCATTTGTCAGGGCCCTGTCCTCTGTCAGCTGTGTGTGGCAGAACCTGAATGCTAAGTGGGACAAAGTCCTATTTTCCTCTCTCAGCATGTGAAGCAACTGACCTTGTTAAACTTGCCACTTAGGGAAATGGCCCCCTCCTGTGCTTGCTTAAAAGAAGTTCTTATCCCTCTTGCCTCCTAATTGGGAATTACAGTTTTCAGCTGGATGATGTATTCACACTGTAAGAAATATAAAGGGTTGGACCTCTGAAAAAGTCATTAGCATTTGCTTAGAGGATGATAAATAGCTGCTCACTCTTGGCAATTTTAGAATGTCCTATCAAGTTGAGAATTAGTTGATTGTGAGACGTTATGAAACAAATTACAGCATTGTTTTGGTTTTGTAGGAAGTGTTGTAACAGGCAACTGTCACTAATTAAAGGGGCTCACCAAACTCCCTAATTAAAAAAGTCACATATTTGCCAAGATCCTAGCAAAAATCCAAGTAGCCATAATGAATGTTAGAGAGCTCTGTATCATGTTCCTCACTGTCACAGCAAGTCTGAACAATCAAAGCCATCTTTTACACCAGAAACCCACTAAAACCCTAAAGCAGCTATCTGATTTAATTCCTTTTTTTTTTCTCCCTTGTTTTGCAGGCCTGTATGAATTTCAATGACAGTGGTGCTTGTGTCACACAGTGCCCCCAGACCTTTGTGTACAACCCCACCACCTTCCAGCTGGAGCACAATCACAACGCCAAGTACACCTATGGGGCTTTCTGTGTCAAGAAGTGCCCACGTGAGTGCTCTCTCACCTGCCCTGCTCTCTGCCTTCTCTCAGGGGGAGCTGCACTTGCATTTCAGGAGCCTTAAAAACAGAGAGAGAATGAGAGCTGAGTGCAGAGCACCACCTCTCCAATCACTCCACGTGTGCTTGCAGCCTGTAATAACTCAGGTGATAGCTAAAGATATCGCCTTTAGCTGTGATGCTAACAGTTCCCTGGAGTGGAACTGGATCCTGGAGTGATTTTCCTAAAGAAAGGTGGTTTCTGTTTTCCTGGTCAACTGCTTGTTACATTCATGCTTTAGATCAGTATTTGTAAATTCCAAAATAGTGGCAATAGGTAGTTAAAATAGTGGGGTTGTAAAACGGTATGAATTTTTGTTTCAGAAAAATAACAGTCCACCACCAGCACCTGGTACCAAATGCTTCCATGATATTGATGCCCCTAGCTTGGAGTAATGATGATTTGACAGAAAGTTACCCTGAGCAGTTCTGTCCCAATGAGGAATAAACTTGTAATACTGACAGGAATGCAGTCTTAAAACTGCAGAGTAAAATTAGAGGGGAAGAGGAGTTAAAAAAAGAAGAATCCCATGCATGTAAAACCCACATGCTTCTGAGATACCAGCCAGATGATGACAAGTAACAGAAAAAATTGTAGGGTCATCACTTACACAGTCTTTGGATCTGCTGGTTTAATTGGAAAGAATAATAAAGGAGATAGTGTTCTCGCTCTCCCTTTCATTCCATAAAGGTTTACGGTTGTGCATTAATTATTTTGTCCATAAATTATGTGCAAGAAGGATGGGTGATCTGTATTAAATGGAGCCATAATTCAACCCAGCCCAAATTCCAAATTTTGAATCTCTGTGGAGGAGTGACAGCAGGCAGGGGCTGTGACCACCAGGGCTTAGTTCTGCCTCTAATAGTGGTGGGTTTGCTGAAGCAAGATTGGTTTGTTAAGAGCCTGATATCATGCACTATAAGGGTTATAATTCTTTGCCCAAATACTTCATTGAACATTTTTTTTATTTTTCCTTTCTTATCAGCATTAATCATTTAGCAAAGTAGGATCAGTCTATATTCCCTTTGGCTTTTGTTTTACAGGGAAAAAATTGAAACACTTGTCATTGTCCTGTGCACTGTTTTATCCCAGATGTCTATTGTGTGCATTAAAAACACAGGACAGACAATCTTGCTTTATTTCTCTCCAATTACTGTAATTTTTGTTTTCCTACAAATAATAATAAAGCTAAATAGGGGGAGAAAGAGGGATCAGGCCTGACAAAAATGGATTTTTATAAGTCTCTGATAACGTGCCTATTTTGCCTATACACTTCTGAAAACACAGAACTTTAAATGTTCATGTCACTGGGAAAGTGCTAAGGTAGCAATAATTCCAAAACACACCCAGTTTTTATTCACTTCTGCCAACATCTCCTTTTTCTTTTCAGACAACTTTGTGGTAGATTCCAGCTCCTGTGTCCGGGCATGTCCAAGCTCCAAGATGGAGGTTGAAGAAAATGGCATTAAGATGTGCAAGCCCTGCACTGACATTTGTCCTAAAGGTAGGCAGGGGTTCAGTATAAATTTACTTGAAAGTAGTCTACACAGGGTGTTATTTTGGCACGAATTGCCCTTCTTGAGTGTGTTGTAGAATATGAATAGCCTTTGAATACCCACAAAAGTTTGAGCTAGGTAGGTTGTGTGTCAAGCACATAAAATGGAGTGAAAATTTATTAAGTTGAAATGGCAATATAACCAAACCAATTGCTTTTTATTAGATACAAATGAAGGGGATTTCTCTGTTGGTTTTAGAGAAATCTGCAAGAATTCTTCCTTGTGTTATTTTAATGACAAGTATTTTCTGGAGGTGTTTTAGCATTGTCCTTTTGTCATTCCGAAGGGGGCCATACGAAACACCCTGACTCCAATGTCTGGGATGTCTCAATTTGTCAATACAACATTAGGTTTCCATTTCCTTGCTCTGTCTCTGCTTTCCCAGAATCTTCTACCCCCTTTCTCAATGTCTCAAACACAGAGCAGTGATTGTTCTGTTGAAATCTGTAGGTTACTTTGCTGTTCTAGAGTCCAGACTTTCTGCTCCCTGCTTGCAACTCTGTGCAGCAAAGCATCATAGGTTTTCCTACACGGCCCTATGCCACTTTTCAGTCCTAATGGAAGCCAAATCTGCCTTAATTGTGGTAAATAATTTGTGTTGTTGTTGAATAGAGAGTTTTATATGTGAAAACCCAGGTATGGAGTTCCTTAATTTCTCAGGAAGAAAGCTATCACATGTTTGTAAAAGCTTCTGCTGGTAGTAACCATTAGAGGATCCCAGTCAGGAAGAGAGAATACATGATTATATGGTTGAAGTCATGAAGAATTTGTTCCTGGATGCATCCTGTGTCCCAGAAATGCAGTAAATTACATAGACAGGCTACACAGAGAAGTTTCCTCACTGGTTGCCCATTTCTCCAGGTACCACTAACTTGCTGATTGAGCTGATAAATAACAAGTTATTTATACAACATTTAAAGGGCCTTGTGGCATGGATGGTTAAGTCCACAAATCCACCAGAGAAGGGGACCTCTGTGATGCCTTGTGAAGGCTGACCTAGAGCAGAGTCTGGGCAGAGTTAAAGAATAAAATAGGGATTCATTAAAAGGCCTCAATGGATGCACCTTGGGCAGCACAAGAGCCCAGCCAGGGCTACACCCAAGATGGACCAAAATGGTCACAAAATGGACAACTGGTCATGGGGTCTCTCACTTTTATAAGTTCTGGTCCATTTGCATATTGGAGTTAATTGTCCAATTACAGCTTTAGCTTATTAAATCCCATCCCTCTTGTTTTTCTCTCTTCAGCCCATGTTGTTTGTGCTCTTGGGCCTTAGATTTGGATCATTTGTCCTTGGTCCCCAGCTAGAGAAGGGTTTGTTTTGTCTCCCTACTCTGTGAAGAGAGCTTACCAACCCCTAAAGTGTCAGAACTACACATTAAAGCAGCACAGAATCTGAAAAATATAAAAGCTAAAATCTGAAGCAGCATTTCCCCCAGCAATGTTATGCCCCTCAGTTTCTGCAGTGCCTGGTGCACAAATAAATGGCAAGGCTGGGCTGAGTGGGATTTTTGTGTGCTGTGATTTGTGTGGCTGATACTCACCTTTAGATCCCATGTGAAATACCTTAACCTGTGTGCCAGGGTGCTGTTTGGTTTAAATTGGGATGTGCTTCTTTGGGAATATGTGTCAAGGATGCTGTTTGAGCCCCTCTCTGCTGAATGAGATGAACACTGGTGTCTGTAAGGCCAAGGTGTTCTGATTCAGTAATTGTTCTCCCCAGTTCTTTACACAAGCTCCTTGTTTTGGCAGCATGTGATGGCATTGGGACAGGGAGTTTGGTGTCAGCTCAGACAGTGGATTCCAGCAACATTGACAAGTTTGTAAACTGTACCAAGATCAATGGCAACCTTATCTTCCTTGTCACTGGGATTCATGGGTAAGTGACAAAATGTTAAGATGTTATGTCATGGTGCCAGCTGAAACCAATTGCATCCACCTCTTAATGATGGCTGCAGGCTTCTTTTATGCAATAGCAGATCCAGGATCAATTCATTTTCTGCCTTCCATTGTGAAAAAAAGCATTGCCTTGATTCTTAAGATTCAACCTCTAGGAAAAGAAAGGATGGATTAATTGTTTGCACTTAAAAGAGAAAAGACAGCTATGATTCTCTGGTTACTTTATGAGGTCCTCAATACTGGCTTACAATAAAGGCTGATCAGAGAACAGAAGGGAGAAAAGTCACCTTCCATGAGTTTGTTTAAATTCTGTATGGCAATAATATGCAGAATATGCAGAGAGGCAGCCTCTCTTAGCATAGCTTGTCATAATCAGTACACACACATGCACAAAAGCTGCCCTCTTGTCAATCAGTTTTGAAGAATCTATTCAAGTTTCAGAATTCACTGGTGTATAAATCCAGTATTTTGGTTTCAATTTTGCTCATTGTAATAGAACCAGAAACTCCTCCAAGTGTCACATGGCTCTGCTCTGGCCAAATGACCCACTGAGAGGCTGGATGGGAACCTGTTAAATCTCACAGGACAGGGAAAAAATCAAGTAAATCAAGTAAATACACAACAAGCAGCTAGAGCCCATGAGCAATTTTGTGTGGATTAATTCAGCGCGTTACATGAAATTTAATTTAGAGTATAAGGACTGCTTTTGCAGGAAAAATTATATTAGCTAATTGAAAATTCTAAGTTAAAAGAACCAAACCCAGCCTTGAATAAAATTGTACTAGTCTGAAAAAAAATCTAAATTTGGACTATAAGCAGAAAGTTAGAATGTTCTATTCTGTTTTACAGAAGAGTAGGACATGTAATGTTGAAAGTATGTAGCACTTTGTGTCTCATTCTTGATGAAAAAAACTCACTTCAGCAAGCCTAAAGTATGAGGGCAGAGTTCTGCAACCCTAAATTTTTCTACAGCATGGATTACATTAGTAGAGGTTAAAAGAAGAGAAGATTTGAGAATGAATGAAAAAATCTAGAATTCTGGAACAACTTTTTTATTTAAAGTTTCAATGGCATTTTGCAAACCAGCAATATGAAAGGGAGATTTAAAAAATGACACTGACTATACAAGTAGTTTGTTATATAAATGGACAGTATGGAGAAACAACAATTTTACTTATTTCCTCTTCAACTTTTGTCACAAATTCATTTGTTCACAGTGAACTGCAAATTTTAGAGTATGAATTTTTATTGGTTTAGATTGTAGGGATGTAAAATCTGGTTCTCTGGGGAATTGGAAGACTTTTGGTGTGGCAGAGAATAATTTCAATGAAAAATGCAGAAAATATTTTTTTTGTTGTTTCCATTGGAAATTGTGCTGTTGCAGTTGATCCTGTCCTATATTTTGATCCTGTGGTTCTGTAGCCTAGTTCTTTCCTGAGCACATGAACTTCAAGTCTTTGGGATTTGTTATAATTTATGTAAATATATATAGATGTAATTATGAATGTTTTCTACACATCTATTTAAAGTCATTAAGATATACACTATTCTACAGTTTTATCTGTTGATAAAACAGCAGACATTTGGCTGTTTAAGGGGTTTAATTGTATATCTGCATCTCTAAAGCTATTTTATCTTCAGAATTTAGAGGTGAAATTCAGCTGCCTCATGTTTATTGCAGGCAAGGGTTTTTCCTTTTTTGATGGTAATGCAATTTGAAAGCCAAGTGCTGTGTTTCTGTTAGGTAGTCAAAACTTGTTATTTAGTTTTGTGAGAGCCCCACATTGTTAAAATGTGTTTGATGCCTCTGTGGCCCACTGGGCTTTTTTGTTAACACTCTAGAAATCCTTTTGTTGCTGCTCAGGGTGGTTAGAGGTGACCCCACCAGTGTGTCACCTCACAGATTTGTGACTCCTGTCCCCAAAGACAGCCAGGTGGATCCACCTGCACATTTCTGTTCCAAGAATCACATGTCCTGGAAAGCAGAAGGAAGAGAGGAGGAAATGTGTGCTCCATATTTATTGGGGATGTTTCCTGCTCTCAGAAAACACACTAAAATACCATAACATGCTATTCCAGAGGAATTTTGGTTTGGTTTAATCTCCTAGTTAAGTTTTAAATAGGAGAGGAAAGTAACATATTTACTAAATGATGGCACTCTTAAAATGGAGGTCATCTTCATCTTTTTACACTATGACATATTCTAAGTTTAAAGTTTTAATTTTTGGAGGTTATGTCATTTCTCAATGACAAACTTGCTTGACAAGGATCCATAGTTTTAGAGATTCCTTGTTCAACACCTTCTAAAAAGTGTGCCCTTTAAATGCCATGTGTCAGGAACTGCTGGCATGCTCTTAGATTAATTTTGCTCATAGCTTGTCACTTCTTTCAGAAGCAGCTTTGTTAGTCCTGGTATACATTCCTGGAAAAAACACTGAAAATTCATCTTTCCTTTAGGAAGGTCACTCATGGTTGTTTAGAATTCCTTTATTTTCCATAGCATAAATATTTGCTAAAACATGAATAGGCTTTATGTTCCTTCAAGATGATGTGGGAGAAGTTAGACACATCTGCAGGAACAAAAGGCTGAAGAAGCTTGGTGCATATCCTCATAAAAGCAAGGTGTTGAGCACCTTAATGCTGTTTCCTGCATGGTGTGGCTGTGAGAACCTGATCTTTTCTTATTTAGAGTGTCACATTGTGTGATTTTAATCTTTCAGAGACCCCTATCACACGATCGCTGCCATCAATCCAGAGAAATTAAATATCTTCCAAACAGTGAGGGAGATAACAGGTAACACTTCTGATCTCCTATAATCTGCATTAATTAATGAACTCATTCTCACTTTGCATTTATAGTTGTCATGTGTTGGGTTTTCTGAAGAACACAAGGTACTTGTTTTCATTAATCTGACCATGCTGTCATTTTAATGAAAATTTAATACAGAAAACTTCAGTATCAGTTGATTTTCACAAGTGTGCTGTCCTTTGAATACAGGATGCCCATTATGGCAGATGCTCAGTAGACAAAGGCCCTTGGTCCCATGTTAGCAAAGTAGGGCTAGTGTTGCAAGGGAGGGAAATGGGAGGGAAATGTGAGGACAATAGTGCTGAAATGTGGGAAACCATTTTCTTCACCTGAAAGCATTTGGAAGTTCTAGTCTGCTTTTACAGCTCCTTCCCTTGGTCTAACGGAGGATGCTGCTGCAAGTTAGATTTTGTAATTTAAAGACAGATATGTAATGGGGTTGTGAGTGGTGTTGGTGTGTCCCGTTTTTTTGTGACTTTTCAATGGGGTCATAGAACTGGGTACTCAGTAATTTGTGTTCTTGTTTCACCATGAGGGGGACACAGAGGGAGATAATACAGCTCTGAGTTCTCATTTGGTGTCTGATTATATAGAGGGAGGGAAATGCAAAAAAACCTGTTCTATTTCATGCACAAAAAAACCACCAAAATATCTTTGAGCAGCACAGCTTGATGCATGGAGCTCAGCGTGCTTCACCTCTCAAAAGCTGTGAATTTCAGCAAACCACTGGGATTAAAAATGAAAGTAAACTCTTAATCTCTTCCTAATTAATATCAAGGATAATCTGGCATCTGGGAGAGTATTATTTGCCATTCCTAAACACAATAATGGACAGTCTCAGCCATGCTGCTGAAGTGGAATTACCCCTGTAATTGCTGAACTCTATGTACTTCATTTCAGCCCAGTGCTGAGGCAAGGGCATGGGGAGCTGTCCTCTCTGGAGGTCTGTGCAGCACAACACATCCTGAGGACTTTCCAAGTTCTCACCTTGGCAATTAGGACAATTTTCCTTCTTTTTTTTTTTGAAGGATATGGTGGTGAGCAGCCTGAGAGACTGCAGCTTTCCTTATTTATTTCTTTTCCTCAAGCTGGCACTGTCCTTCCTTTCTAGGCTAAGCCCGTCCTAACTCACGTGTGGCTGAAATAATTTGTGTTCACATGTTTGCTTTTTCCTCCTTCAGGGTATTTGAACATACAGTCTTGGCCTGAGAATATGACAGACTTCAGGGTGTTTTCTAACTTGGTTACCATTGGTGGGAGAGCTCTCTATAGGTAAGGTACTTCTCTGTTGGTGGAATAATTTTTTTATTAGCTTTCTGTGATTCTTTGTTCAGTAGCAGAGAATGCAACATCCCTTGGGAAGGACATTGTAAATGGATACATTTTTTTCCTCTGTTACCAAGGTGTTCATTATCAGTATCTTTGCTAATCAGTTGTTTATAATGGGTAATACCTTCTCAACATAATTATTTAAAAAAAACAGTCTTGGTTTCATGGCTGTAGCTATTATCACACTGACTGGAACTACATTTATGGTTTAAAATACCTTGTGAAGAACCATAGTTTAAAAGGAATGAATAATAGAACTTAGCCTCATTATTAGGAGTTTATATGGTTGTGGTTAGGCGTGCAGGCTTATATGCCCAAACAACAAAGTGGTTTTAAGAAGAGGTAAAATGTGGAAGAACTCTGAAATCACTGAGGCACCTTGCAGGTGAGGAGTTCATGAGCTCTGTAGTGCCATTTTTACCAGAGATGTTTCATGTTTCTGTGTGGAAACTCGGATGGAGAAATTGGTTTGAACAGAAGAAATGCTGGGGGAAGCCCAAGGAGGTACCTGAGTAATTTATACAGCAACCTCTGGATCCCCACTTTGGAGAGGGAGTAAATCAGACATGGGATTCTGCTGGCATCTTAAACAACCTGAGCAGAATATGAACAGCAGTGAAACCTTGAGGTTGAATTACAGTCCTGCATTCTGTTCCAAGGCAGCAATTTTTATTTGGAACAGCTGGAAAACAATTATCATCATTAAAATACAATAACTTAAAGGATGCCCAGAAACTGGATATTGTCTTCACTAATCTTCAGTCATAAAATATGTGCAGTCATTTTCATGTTGTGCAGACAATCATTTACTGTTCCTTTGATGAAGAAAGGCAATAACCACATCTTACAACCAAAGAAAAATGACATGTAGAGAGTGAGCTAGAAAAAAAATCCATGAAAATAACAATTTCTTCCTGTATTACTTGAAATGGCATTAATTTGATGCCTGACAGATGTTTTAATCTATTTTCCTTAGCATATAAACTATCATAGGGTGGTTTAGTCTTAATGTGGTGTATTAATAGTATTAATGCTGTTCAAACTATTAATGCCGTTGAAAGAAAAACCTGAATTATATTCAGATTTCCTATCACCACATTATCGCAAAAAAATCTGTTAATGGATGAAATTAAACTGGTTGAGGACTTCTGCTGGCTTACTTGGCCTAGTGCTATGGGCATCAGAGTTGTAGTATCTCACTCCTGACAGGACTTATCATTTCCTAGCCAATGGAACTGGATGTTGACTCATAAAACATTTGTGTTACCACAAAGTAAAAGTTTTCTGAACAATTCTCAGTTTTTGCAGGAAGATCATCTCGACACTTGGAACTAATTCCAGTTGGCAATTCCCTACCAGATATAGCAAACTGTGCCTTCTGAAGTTAATTCCTATTTTCTCTCACTTTTGTTCTCATCCCAGTGGCCTTTCCTTGCTCATCCTAAAGCAACAAGGCATCACTTCCCTGCAGTTCCAGTCCTTGAAGCAAATCAGTGCTGGCAACATCTACATCACAGACAACAGCAATTTGTGCTACTACCACACTGTCAACTGGACCAGCCTGTTCAGCACCCCCAGCCAAAAGACAGTGATCCACAGGAACAAAAAGGCAGAGAACTGCAGTAAGTACCTGCTGCTCACTGCCACCAGCTCACCTGCAGGCTTCTGCAGCTCCTTGGGCATCAGGGGAGCTTTCCTCACTTGCAGCATCCAGGTATTTGGCCCAGTCTGAGCAGGAAAATGATTTTTTTTAAGGTGTAGACAAAGGAAAGGGAGCAGAGAGAATTCACTGCTTCCTTAACATGATGTGAATGTTCCAGTTTCACAAATATGAATTCCAAAGGCTGTCACTGGAATGTTCATGACTTTACAGCCCTTTCCTTATGGAGTGGTGTGGTGGTGTTTGCAAGGGTCTCAGGACGAGGTGAGAGATGAGAATCTTGACTCCATGTTTCAGAAGGCTGATTTATTTTATTATAGATATTATATTAAAAGAAAATGATATATTAAAACTATACTAAAAGAATAGAAGAAAGGATTTCATCAGAAAGGTAGCAAGGAAAGAAAAGGAATGATAATAAAATCTTGTGACTGTTCACAGCCTTGACACAGGTGGCTGTTGTTGGTCATCAAGTAAAACCAATTTCACATGCTGGGTAAACAATTCTCCAAATCACATTCCAAAGCAGCAAAACATGGAGAAGCTGAAACTTCCCAGCTTCTCAGGAGAAAAGGATTTTTATCTTTTTTCTCCTGAAAAGCTGGGAGATTAGGATTTTCTAATGAAAGGACTTTTCATTAAATATGTCTGTGACAGAGTTGGGATTAGCATCTTCTGCTTCCCCCACCCTAAGTGGCCCTATCTTAATCCAGAATGGTGATTTTGGGACTGGTTTAGGTCACCAAGTTGTTCTTTTTCATATTTGACTTATCTGATAAAAAAATACTGCTTCAGGAAAGCTTACATGCCAGTACCTAGGCTGAGATCATAGCACTGAAAAGCCAAAGAAAGCTCTGTAGCAGATAAAATAACTTGTTTATATAGAAATCAGGCAGCAAATTGCATCAATACAGACATATTGTAGCAGCAAAGGAGTTCATTTGAAGCATCTGTTAGACTGCTTGCAGGAGAGGAGATTCATTAAATTGCTTTATGTTTAAGTGATATTGCTGGTTTTTGTGCTCTGACCTGCCAAAAATGTTTGCTTTGGGTTTTCTCAAGCTGTGGTTGTATTTTTGACTTGCACTTAAGTTCTTTCTTTCTGCTGGTTTGAGGGTGGTTTTATTTGTTATTTTTTGAGGGATTTAATTTCTTTTTTTCCTCTCCCCTCCCTTTGAAGTGCTGTTCTGCTCTGTTTTGAGAGAGTGAATGGCTGTGCTCATCACAATAGTGTAAATGTACCCTCAGTGTTAGGTGAAATTCAGCTGGAGCTTTGTCTGTGCTGCTCAATTCCTTTTCTAATCTCTCCTACCATGGGAGAGCCACAGGAAGTACAAAGTCTTGTTTGGTTGGTCTCCACATGGTTTTGGTTGTGTGGCATTTGAATTATTATTTTATTAGGCTATTTCTTTACATACAAGTTAAAACACTGAAATTGAAGAAAACGCTGCTTGCTGTCCCTGCAGACAGTTCTTTCTGTGGCTGTGCCTGAGAGTGTAGGGTTTTTTCTGCCCCTACATAGAAAGCCAGCTATAAATAGAGTGTTTATTGGAAAATAGAGGTGCTGCCAAGAAGGATGGCACATCTGCCCAGGACTGTGGCACTGCTTTTTGCTTTCCCCTGCAGTGTAACAGCATCATGTGGTGAGGAACCACATAGTTCTGCACTTGTGCTCTCTAACAACTGTGTTTTGTATGGCATGAAGAAAGAATTAGCTCTTCTGAGATCTCCCATATGCAATTTTTGTGCTGACAGAACAGAAAAAGGAAGAAGCTCAAGGCTTTTTTGACCGTGAAAGAGTCACTAAGGTTACATTCCCAGATCTGACTAGGTCCCACCTTGCCAGGAGATACATGAACTTGTGAACCTCCTGGAGAGCACAGGTTTCCTCTCCACCAGATGAAAAACTGCTTACTATGGGAGAAAAATTATGGTCTTGGTGCTCTGATGTTTTCTTACAACAGATTGGCTCTAGCTGTCTGATTTTCATGCAGCATTTAATGAAAGAACAATCAACTTTCCTTCATTCCCAGACATTTAATATAAAAAGAAACTAAGCAGTAATGAGGTGGACCACGGGCCTCATGTCTCATACAGGAATGATTCCTCTTTGCTTCAGGTTTCTGTAACCCCCACATGTCATGAGACAATGGGAAATCACTCAGGTGAATTTTGTAAGGTGCTTTTTGCCCTTCATGGAGCAGTGTCCCAATTGTTTCACTTTTTTTGAGAGCTTTGGGACACAACAACTGAACACAGCAGTTTGGAACATAATCTTGCATTAGTTGTCAGGGCTTCTTTGTCAAAAACCTCTTTGCCCTTTCCTGGGATCACTCAGTTTGAGTCCCTTTGAAGCTGCCACAGCTACTGAAAGATGGGCTTCCAGAGCAAATGGAAACTGGGATGTGCTGTCACATCTTCCTCTCACATGCAATATCTTGTCACTACATTTGCACACAAAGAGAAAATGCAAACTTCATTTCCCCTCTAGCTTGGTGAGGATTTGTTATAATAGACACTTACCATTTTCCAGGAAGAAAAACACTCCTAAAGACATTTCAAGAGATTTAACACTGTGGAAATCTTCAAGAGGAAAGTATATCTCATTTGTTTCCTTTTTAAACAGTCACAAAGCAAGCTCCAGTTTCAAGGGGCTGGTTTTATAAATGGACTCTGACCTGTGTTCATTAAATGGACAATGAACACAGGCCAGGGGTCAAGTGGCTCCATCTGGGAGGCAGTGCAGTCCTAACAGGAACAGTGGCTTTTTCTCTCCAATTGGAGGGCAATGCAATCCCAACAGGAACAGTGGTTTCCTCTCTTTGCACATCTGTGTGAGGGAATATCAGCATCCAAGCTCATGTGCACAGGGAATGGAGCAAACCACCAAGAAAAGGGTAGGGAGATTTTACCTTTGCTCCATGCTGAAGTGAAAAGTCTGAAAGTCTACTTTTTTTTCCAGCATGTTTCTGGGTTTTTTTGGGTTTTTTTTGTTTTTTTTTTTCTGGAACAGTCAGAGGTGAGTCATGTGAAATATGAGTGCACACAAAATAAATGCAGGGAAAAAAATGCTTCTTTATCCAAAGTTACTTGAGCAATGCTCTCAGCTTTAGTGACACCTGCAGTGTAAGGTGAAACCCTTCTAGGCAAAGGTTGTTAGAGATGTGATTATTATGAATTATATCAATCTAGCCAGCAATTAACAACGTGAATAAATGATTACATTCATTATCAGGCATGATGTAAAGCTAATTGAAGTCTGCAGGAGTTTTCCTATTCAGTTTATGGAGCTTTGGATCAGGCCCAGAAGCATATAGCCAAATAAAAATAATTTTTCTTTTTTTAGTAGCTAATTTTCTTGTGTTCTATTTAGGTTGGGGAAAAACATTCGAACTCTCTGTTTCTAACCTGTGTGGCCCCATTAATAAGGAATGAGTCCTTCTTCTAAAACTCCTGACAAAATTCAGTTTCTGTCAAGAGCATTATTGTTATTTCTTTACACGTAAGGCCATGTGATGTGCTGGAGCTGCAGAACATGCTCAGCCCATGGAATTGCCAAATAATGTGTCAGAAATTGAAATGTTTCTTTAGCCATCCCCACAATTAAAGAAGAGAAAGGGGAGAGAAATGAGTTTTTATAAGTTGTCAAAACAACCACTCCCTCCTTGCCAAGATTCTTTTATGAAAACATTTCAGGAGGAAATCATAATCTTTTTGTTTCTGTTGCTTTTTTCATAAGACTACAGGCACTGTGTTGGCTACATTTCAATGGGATAATCATGATTTTCTTTATTGAAAAACTCTCTTTTTATTTGTGTACAGTTACTCACTGTATTTTTGGAGCTATCTTGTAATAATATCCCTTGTTATTTGGGCAGATATTTTAGTGAAATACTCTGTCTGTGCAAATAAATTCTGATCCCAGAGTAGTTTGAAGGGGGACAAGAATGAAAAGAAAGGAAATCACTAGTAGTAAATCACGATTTCAAGTCACAAAGAAGGTGAGAAAGCAAACAGGGAACTGCCTTTCTGTGATGAGTGTGGAAAAACAAAATCAGAAGAGCTAGCAATATTCTTAAAATTAAAAATGAGAAATGAAGGGCTCTCCAAACCAGGTTAAGTTTTTCTTTGTTGCATGACAAAGATTTAAAATGACTGATTGATTAGAAAACAAAAACCATATCAAACTATATTAAAAAGTTTGTTTAATTGTAACTAGAAGAATTTCTGGCTTCGTGGTTTTTCTTTTTGTTTTTATCTGCAGGTTCAGGCAGTGGCAGCATAGTGGAACTACTGACATCTGATAGTTATTATAAAAAGGTTAATATGCTTAAAAGGAAGTCAGGTGAGGACAGTAAAGAGAAGCTGAATTTTGTGTCTCTGCTCCTCCTGGCTGTGCTGGTCTGGTTGCTTTCGCTCCAGCAGCAGAGCTCAGGGAAGGAGGACAAAGCATCTCTCTGAAATGGCCCCCTGAGTCCCTCTTCCTGTGCTGGAATCTGTGATAATTAATACACTTTAAAGCATACTGAGCACCTGCAATGACTCCTAAATGAAATAACTTTGTTACCTGTTCCTGATTTGAGCTTTGAGGCAAAAGAAAATCCAAAAAGATACTTCTGAGTACCTTTTGGATGTCAGCATTAAAAATTATATGTGATATAGAAAGAAAAAAACGAAATCCCAGCCTTTATAAAACATGTTCAGACTTCTCACGCTTGAGGTGATTTGTGGTGTATTGAGTAAGGAAGTATTGGAGAGGGTGGTAGAACTCAAGCGGTGCACCTCCTTTTCATTTATTATTCCTCTTAAGCTGTTTCCAATGGTTTGAAAAGCAAACAAGTGTCTGTATTGTTGCCATCTCTGATAGTTCAGGTCCTTGCTGGGTTTAATTTACACAGTCCAGAGTGTAATCCATCTGCGTAAAACATTGCATTGTGCAAAAATAAATTCAAATGATTTCTGTCCTTCCATGTGCCAGGGTTAGGTTGAAAGTGCACCCAGACTTCCTTCAGATGCTGGAGAGATAATATGTTCCTTTTGCTCTTTGCTCATTTTCTCCATCTGTCTCATCATCTAGATATTTACACAGGGAATGATTTATATGAAATAAAAATACAGACTTACACTGTTTGAAACAAACTTTCCCTCTAACCCTTAGTTTATTGTGTATTTTCATGTGGGCTTGAGGGTTTTAATATAAAGGCTCTTTGGCTCTTCAGGTACTTTTGCTGTAAACAATTTTAAAATCACAATTAATGGTGTCTTTCCTTCAGTTATTTCCCCACTGTCCATAGGTTTTATTTCAGGGAGTCCTCAATTCATAGGTAGCATTTGATATTTTAGTTTAATAGAAGTTTAGTGGATTCAGACAGTTGATTTTTTGAATCCTTTAAATTTTTGCCATTTATCATGTCATGTGTCAGGGAATTTTACAGGTTGATCTTTACTTTTTATGAAGAAAAATCTCAGATTTTAACCCTATTGGATTCCTGTCTCTTTGAATGCCCACGAGGGACTGGGAAGCAGCAGTGAACAATTGTTTCATGCTTACTCACCTCCTCCTTGCCATTCAAGATTTTAGCAGCTTTAATCATCTACCTCTCTGTTTACTCCTGGTTTAGAAGCTCTTCTCTGGTTTTGATCATCCTTGGAGCACTGTCTTGAATCTTTTTCCTGCTCAGTTTTTTCTGAAAGGAGCAGAGCAGGAGTCTGTACAATATTCCAGCTGAGTGCTCTGTGTATTTGTGTTGTGGCACAATGGTGATTTGGTTTTTTTCTGTCCTATGATTTGTGGAAAAAACTATATAAAAAACTTGTACACGTTGTGAAGTAGGTGTGTATTTTTATTTAGTGCTGGGTGCATGCAGGGATAGTTCTTTAAAGAACAAGTGCACTCTCTGGGAGTCTAGTTTCTTTTTTGTCTCTTAATTTGTTGTCTATGTGTTAAGTTTCACAATAGGTTTATATTTATTTATATTATATAATTTCTATTTAATTTTTATTATTTTACGTAAAATATAATGGATAGTATAATATTCTATATATAAATATAAAATAAATTATAGATATATGTCATTAGATATACATGCATTATTATGAATTAATCTATTATGTAAATATTTATATAATAAATATATAAATGTACTCTATATTTATATATTTGTATTGAAATACAATATAAATTTATATTTCGTTTATATTATTTTATATATATTTACTAATTTCACGTTACAATTTGTTCCTATCAGTTCTTGTACAGAGCGACCTCTTTGATTGTTTCTTGTTGTTTCAGTTTTGGTTTGTTTCTTGTAATGTAGTTTCAGTTTTGGTTTGCTTCTTGTAATGTAGTTTCAGTTTTGGTTTGCTTCTTGTAATGTAGTTTCAGTTTTGGTTTGCTTCTTGTAATGTGGTTTCAGTTTTGGTTTGCTTCTTGTAATGTGGTTTCAGTTTTGGTTTGCTTCTTGTAATGTGGTTTCAGTTTTGGTTTGTTTCTTGTAATGTGGTTTCAGTTTTGGTTTGCTTCTTGTAATGTGGTTTCAGTTTTGGTTTGTTTCTTGTAATGTGGTTTCAGTTTTGGTTTGCTTCTTGTAATGTGGTTTCAGTTTTGGTTTGCTTCTTGTAATGTGGTTTCAGTTTTGGTTTGTTTCTTGTAATGTGGTTTCAGTTTTGGTTTGCTTCTTGTAATGTAGTTTCAGTTTTGGTTTGCTTCTTGTAATGTGGTTTCAGTTTTGGTTTGTTTCTCTTGTAATGTGGTTTCAGTTTTGGTTTGTTTCTCTTGTAATGTGGTTTCAGTTTTGGTTTGTTTCTCTTGTAATGTGGTTTCAGTTTTGGTTTGTTTCTCTTGTAATGTGGTTTCAGTTTTGGTTTGTTTCTTGTAGTTTCAGTTTTGGTTTGTTTCTTGTAGTTTCAGTTTTGGTTTGTTTCTTCTTTCAAGGTCTCTGTGTCTCTTCTTATCTTCCTCTATTTTGGAAGTTTACATTCTTTTTATTTTGTTTGAGGTAGTTTTGTAAGTTACAGGTTTTTTTACGAGTATAGTAAATTAATTAGGTTTTTAGTAAATTAATACAGGTGTTTTACAAGTACAGTAAATTAATTAAACAAGTTAAACAACTGCAAACAGCACACTTCACCTAACTCTGCAGTGGATTTGTGACCAGAGTGAATTTCGTGTCTCACCTGCTCCTGGGCAGTGGGGACGCCCCGGTGACGTTTCGGAGCGCGTGGGATGCCCCGGGGTGTTTTGCCCTGGGTTTGGGGGGGCTGTGTGCATTCCTGACAGCACCCCTGTCTCTGCAGCTGCTGATGGCATGGTGTGCAACGAGCTGTGCTCCAGTGATGGCTGCTGGGGGCCAGGGCCAGACCAGTGCCTGTCCTGCAAGCGCTTCATCCGGGGCAGGACCTGCATCGACTCCTGCAACCTCTACGACGGGTAAGACACTGCCCTTGGCTTCTCCCCAGAGCTGCTAATTAGCATTGCTGAGGATTTCAATGAGCAAGTCATTTGGGGTTTGCATTAATCAGCTTCTGGCTCCACTGCCAGTATTACTGGTTTGGGGTGAAACATGTCATGCAGTAAGATTTCAGGATTTCTAAATCTGAACTTATGTGGAATGCTTTCCCTGGTATTCCACTGACTAAAGTTCTCGTGCAGCATCATCACCTTGCACCTTTTGTATTGCTGGTAACATGAGCAGTTTGATTTAGGTGAAAAATTTCCAAAAACCCCTCATTTTTCCCTACTTGATACTCTTTTTCAGAACCATACAATTATATTCTTTCAGATGAGTTGGATTCAGGCATCTGATAATGAAATTCTCTGAATAAGGACCCCAAAGTAGAAAAACTCACTCTCTTTTTCATAATGCACTGTGTAATTGTACACACAAATATAAATTTAAAAACCAGTAGGAGTTCTTGCCCTTTTTCTATTGCTGCTTATACTGGGGGAATACCTCCACAGCACAAGGTGGTTGAATCTGCCTTATGAAAGAAAAATAAAGCTGACCTGAGCAAATGAACTCCCACAAATGCATGAAAATATTCTCAACTCTTCCACCTGGAGAAGGCTTGCAAAAAATTCTTTGTCAGAGCACAGTTTTATGTACTTAAAAGCTTCTCTCCTCCCCCTTCACCCCCCAATAAGGAGAGTTGCAGACCCCAGTTGTGTTGTCAGTGTACTGGAGTAAGTTGGTCCCTCCTTGGTGTCTTTTGCTGCCATGGAGCCTGTCACAGTGAGAGCATGATGAGACTCAATCAGTATGTTCTGTTCTCTGTCCATCAGTGAATGGCACTGACACTTTCCACAGGCTCAGTTCTGTCCTAAATATGTGAAAATATTTATAACCTGGGCTGGGGGAGAACTTTGTGTTTGTGGGAGAGCTCTTCATGTTGATGCTGTAGGGCAGCAACAGTTCTTCAGGGTGGGCTCAAGCTGTATTGGACATCTCTTTTAGTCCTCAGCAGAAGAAATCCACTCCCAGAGCCAGGGAAGGGTGAGCTCAAGTGAGGTTTTCCCCAGCTCCATCCTGATGTCCTCAGCAGATCCTAATGGCTGTAGAGGAATGAAATGAGCAGTGATCACCTGAACTCAGAACCTTCACCTGGATGCTTCTGGAGCCCCCTGAAATGAGTGTGCAGCACATGTGTAACTGGTTAATGCAAATATTGTAATTGGTTATTGCAGCAAGATGGGATCCCCCTGCAAAGCTTGGCCTGGTCCACTCTGAGCCCACTACAAAGATTCAGTCTGTCTTTAGTGGGGGAGAAAGAACTTGCTCAGATGTGAATTCATCTTGGCCTAGAACAATGTGGGATGTGTTGAAGAGTGCTGGAGGTTTGTGGTGAGGGGAAACTGGCAGCTGAAATATTTGAAGGAAGAAATTCAACCTACCTTTCCCCCCACCTTAAAAGTGGTTAATAAAAAGTGGTAGTTTCTTGTGGATACATGAAATAAATGAGTAAAAGGATGTGTTTTGACAGTTTATAGATTGAGACTTCAGTATAGAATTATTGCTGAAAACATTGAGCCTTTTGGAGAATGGGCTTTAAAACATGTGTTCATAGAGACCTACCTGCAACAAGGGCAGCTCTGCCATCAGTGCTCACATGTGGCAAGTGGCTTCCTGAATCTGAGCCACAGTCCTGTAGGTGAAAATCAAGAAACCAGCAGTTTTGTCCTGTTAATGAAGTCTGTATTTCTGAATGAGAGGAAGGCCCTCACTTTTGTTTTGTATTGCCAGCCAAGGGCTCTGTACAAATCACCAACAGGATGGGACTGCTAGAAATGTGTCTTGAGCTGTTTCATTTTCCAGCATCTGTCTCACTACATGGTTATGACAATGGGAGCATGCCAGCAGCTCTGATTTTATAAATTCCCACATTTTATGTTGGTGAAGAAGGTGTCTCTGCTTCAGGTGCCTGTGGATGAGGTGGTGGCCATGACAGGCTGCTGGCCTCAGTGCTCCTGAGATCATTTCCATCAGGTGAAGACCCAGCCAGGTGAGCTCAGTTTTGCCTTGGAGTCAGATTTCTCCTAACCTGCCTGCAAAATATTTCCTCAGGGAATTCCGAGAGTTTGCAAACGGCTCTGTGTGCGTGGAGTGTGATCCCCAGTGTGAGAAGATGGAGGAAAATATGATCACCTGCTACGGGCCGGTAAGGACACAGCCTGTTGTGTTTGTGGGGTTTGGTTTGCTTGGTTTGTTATGGTTTAGGGTAAAAATGTGCTGAAGGAAAAAAAAATCAGTGAAACAAAAGCAGAAGACTCAAATATTCTGCTTGTAGGGAAGGAATTCTGCTTGTGCTAAATTGGTGCTGGGGTCTGCCTGGATCTGCCTCTTTAAGAAAGTGATTCTGAAGGTTTTCCTTTTATTTCTTAAGTTGTCTTAATGCTTTAGTGGTTCAGGTGCATGCAATTTGTACAGACTGGCAGCATGCAGTTGGGATTTAAGTGCCCTCTTTTATCCCTATTTTCATTCTTTATACACCACCCCCCTTGCCAAAAAAAAAAGTGCTGGAATTTGTCTCAGTCCCTCAGTTTGAACAATATGCTGGGGGTTTTTTTGTACTTAGATAGCCTTTAAGTTCTTTTGATAGATAGCATTTTTCATGCATCCTAAATGATGGTTAACTCTTTCTCACCTTTATAATGGCCAGTAACTTTTCTTTCAAAGATTACAGCTCATTTGGGAGATAGAAATTGTCTCTTTCCTCTAGTTTGCTGTGTATTACCAAGATTAAAAGTCACAAGTATACTGGAAATGAGGAGTTGTATTTTAGGCTCTTCATAATTGAGAAAATATAGCCTGTGATTTATTTCCTTATTTCTGTGACTTACTTACTGAATGGAAAAAAGGAAGGCATCATAATTTTTCTTACAATACTATGGTTTTCTGCCATACAGCCATAAGGCAAGTAGCAAATGTTACAAGTGTTCAGCCCATCCGGGAAATCTGGATTTGTAGCAGGGTATATTGACATAAAATCCTAGGCCAATGCTCAACCTGATTTAGTTATAAACTGGCTTATCATCACAGCTTTAGAATTTTACTTTTACATTGCCCAGGAATCTTGGTTTGTTGGTCTTAACAATTTGGTCTTCATGTGTATTAAGGAGACCTTGTAGTCATTTATCTTGTAGAATGAAAGACCTTGTGTTCTTTCATTCTTGCTGTGACCAGATGCCATTGTGCAGCATGCTTGTGGAAAATAGTTTTGGGGTGCAGAGGCAGGACATCCCACTGAAGGCTTTGCAAAGCTGCTTCAGTACTGAATAGTGTAGCAGAAAGTTTCTCAGCATTCAAGTGGGCACCCACTTCACTGTCTTAAGCCCACCAATAATACTAAGAAGCCCATCTAGAAGCTGGTATTTAGTCTGGCACTCTACAGAAGTGGCCAGATGGCCAAAAGCAGCAGGATTTATGTGTGTGCTGCTCCCTAACAGAGGCTGGAGCAGGTAATTCCCAGTTCCTTGGGAAGAGAAGCTGCTGCAGGTGTTGCTGAGTGTGTGCCAATGGCAACCCTAGTGCAGCAGGAAAGGACAGAGTAACTTGAATGCTCTACATTTCTTTCTTCCATGCTCTCCAGGGACCTGACCACTGCACCAAGTGTTTCCATTTTAAGGATGGTCCAAATTGTGTGGAAAAATGCCCTGATGGCTTGCAGGGGGCCAACAGCTTCATTTTCAAGTACGCCGATGAGGATCGGGAATGCCATCCATGTCATCCCAACTGCACCCAGGGGTGAGTGCCAGCTCTGCAGGGAGCCCTCTAATCCATGCACTGCTCCTAGCACAGGGTGCTTTAGAGCTAGTTTGGTTTAGTAAAGCATTTGTCCCACTCCTGAAAATACAGTGTGCAGTAGGAATTTAACCTTTGATTTTCAGTCTCTCAGGTTTTAGTCACGAACGCCCAGCAGTTTATCCCAGAAAAACCCTTTTGAAGAGCACAGAGAAGAACTTTCCACAGCAATGCTCTTAGCTTTCCTTCTACACTGGTTTGTAGCAAATGCTGCCCTTTCACTTAGTTTTAGGCCTGTAAAATGACTGTTTTTAGTACTTGCTCCTTGACAGAATCTCTACTGGTGAACTAAGCCTGCAGTACTACTGTGAGACCAAAGTGTTACTGCTCTCCTTTCCCTACAGAGACTGATCACAGGGTTTGAAACCAGACTTTGCTCAGTCTCAGGCTCCTGTACATCAATTTCTGAAGTCCTGTTAAAGTGCACAGAATTATTTGTTACACTTGGAATTTGTTACACTTGGAATAATACAGCACATGGATCTGAGCCAAAATGAAGAACCTGCACAACAAAACAATGGTCACATGCACACCTGTAGTTTTGCACAGGCTATGTAAGTTACAACTGCCTTTTCCATGGGGCAATTCAGTGTCCAGAATACAAGGAGAGGAAGAGGCAGCAATTGAAAAAAGAGAAAACATCAGCCAGTGAAATAATCTTCAACAAGAGGCTCTTATTGTTTAGCAGCTAAAATTAAACCAGTAAATTATTCAATGTAATCTTGATGTCAACAGCTGTTGCCATTCAAAATGAGACCTTTTGCTGGTTTTGCAAATCTAATTACAATAGAACCATTAGGGAAATGAGAGGGAGATCACAGAGACACAGCCAGGATCTGTTACAGATTTGTCTCCCCCCCAGACCCTTTAAATCAGTTATGCAATAAGAAAAATGCTGCTACTGTGGAAGAAGAGGGTAAGAAGAAATAATATTAAAAGACCAGCTCACTCCAGGAGCTCTGGTCCTGGCTTTCATAGATGGAGAAGGTGCCAATGCTGATCTAATCTGACAAAACCATGGATGTGTGATGGATTTACTGTGCCTTGCAGCTCTCCTGGCCTCCAGGGAGCAACACTCCTTCCTATTCCCTCCTCTTTCCTGAGGAGTTCTCACTGACCCAGCTATTTCTAGTTGTGGCCCAGCTGTGTTTCTCCTAGACCAGGAAGGGAGCAGAAGGTTTTCCATGCCTTTCCACTTCTTCATAGGCATTCATATTTTGCAAGTGGCTGTTTATTTTTATCTGCCTGGATTGAGACGGGAGGTTTTTATGTCTTGTGCTGAAAATGTGACATTCTAGCTCATGCACAAATATGAAGGGCATTAGGCAGTTCTAGCAGACCTTGGCAGCCCTCATTGGCAACTGTTGCTGACACTGGGTTCCCTTATGCCAAGTTATGTTGTCCTTTTAATCCTTGGATTTCTGGTTTTCCCTCCTTTTGATTTCCTCCTTCTGATTAGGTGAAAGAATGTCCCACAGTGTACCCATCCCCAGAGAAAGGACAAGTAAAAGGGCTAAAGGTCTCTCCCCTAGTTATGTACACAAAGTCCATGATATTCCCATCTCCCAGATGAGGAACTATCCCTTTTCCATGACACTAATTTCCCTGTGGAAGTCTTTGTCCTCTTATTAAAAAGTTGATGTGTCGATTCTTAGGTATTTTTTTATCCCTTAGAAAAACAATGTTCTCTTCTCCCCAAGTCTGGGTAAGCGTGGCTTATTATTCCTTTTAGTGTTCCTAGAGACTTAGTGGCACATAATTATGTTAATGAAGCTATTAATGACTGTCCAAGATGTTTGGGGTTTGCAGGTTGTCTGTCTTCTTGCCAGCATTGTCAGGGCCTGAACATGCCCATAGAGAAAAGGGAAATCAGTTGCTCTCTCCTTTCCTCCTTCAAAGCTGAATTCTCTGGTTTCATACCCTTCCTTTAGAAAGTAGTGCCTAAATTCCTCTTGGTCATGATTCTTCACTGAAATAGGTTGTGGAGAGAACACAGCTTGTTATTTGGCTCATGGCTGAAAGGTAGTGAGAACTTAATTCTGCTTCATTCCCCACATCTGTTCTCCTGGCTGCCAGATCAAGTGCTGGAATTACAGCAGTGCCCTCTCAGTACAGCTGGGACACCCATCCAGAAGGGCTGAGCTGCTGCAGAGCAATGCTTCCCAGGATGGTATTACCTCATTCCTGCAGTGCTGCTTGATAAAATAGGTTATTAGTTCTCATGTGATGTGTTTCCAGTCATCCCCACCAGTTGTCACCAAGAAAGGATCTGTCCCACCTCTGTTTCCTGTGTTTTGCCACAGGTTCCATCTTGGCATTTGCAGAGGACTGCTTTGGTGAGGTTTGCTAGCACCATTCTCCTCCCTTATTCAAGCATAATGACTGTTTCTCTTAATAGGCGTGTAATTATCCAGCCCTGTTAATGATCTCACTTTGACCAGAAGAAGTGTCAGACAGTGACTTCCTTGGGTGCAACCACTGTGCTCCTGCCCTTGTATGCCTGTGATAAGTATCAGCTGCTTGCAGCCAGTTTGGAGCAGATCTGAGGCACGTGGGACAGCCATCCCACTCAATTCAAGAGAGTTGGAAAGCATTTGGTGCCTCTTCTTGCAGAGCCAGCCAAAACTGAACACTTGCACAGGAATAAAACACTAATTACACAACAGCAAGTGACAGCCTGCTTCCTTGCTGGGCAGGACACGAATGGGAGAGCTCACTGGACACCTCCCCTTGTCACACAAATGTGTTTTGTCACACAGCTTTTTGAAGGGAGGGCATTACTCCCCACCAAAATGCTCTTTTCCTTCTAAGCTATGACCAGAGAAGTCAGGGGAGCTCCAGCAACAGTGTGTGGCCCTGAAAGGATTGGAGGGCAGAAGCACCATGTTGTCTCTAAAGCTTTGATGTATTTTTAGGAAAGAAGTTTTAATTCCAGATGGACTGGAATTCAGTCTGGATACTGAAAAACACACTCTGGATAAGAAAAACTGTTTCTCTTTTGTATTGCAAAGTTTCCTCCCAGCCCCTGCTCCAGTTCAGCTTTGTTCCTCTCACCTGTTACCTCAGTAGCCCTTGGGTAGAGCTGGCTGATTTTATCCTTAACAATAATTGTGTGACCATCAAAAAAAGGTTTTCTCCTGCCCAGAGATAATCCACTTACACCATTGTAAAATCAGTTCTGTTTGTTTCCAGTCACCAAGATTTTTTAGAATTCATCTGGTGTGGAATGGCTTTGTCACCCCATATCTGTGAAGTTAAAACCCCACCTTTCAATCTTAAAGAAGGTTGATAAATGATAACATTTCTGGCTTGTTCCTGGAAAAAAATAGTTGTTACTGCAATTTTCAAAACCCCAAATTTCCTTTCAGAGGATTATTATCTATTAAGCTAGGATGAGCTCCAAGTGTAATTTTCTGGATAAGCTGTATTGAACTTTTGTAAGGTACTGAATATATCATTAATGAATTGGCATGTCTCAATTAACCAGTTCATTTTACAGAGCCAACTTGGAAAAGAAAATATCATCCAGACTCCAAGCAGAAGGAACACTGGGTGTGAACAGCATGTATGATTGTGTCAGGCTTATATGGGTCAAAAAGCCTGGAATGAAGGGAGTTCCCTCCTGGGGAAAAATACCTGATGGTGCTTTTTTGGTGGTACATAATACCCTGTGAATAAATACTGCCATGACTCACACAGTGTTGTACTTCCCTGAATGTTATGAGGACAGCCACTCAGGAGGAACCTGGGAACTGCCTCACTAGGAGTAATGGAATTGCACCTGGACAGAGTGCTCTCTTTGGGGAAGCCAAGCCCACTGAAGAAGATTACAATTTGAAATAGAAATCAATGACACTTCAACTTGCACTGGGTGAGGTCCAGCAGTACAGTTTGGATTCAATCCTGTTCTCCAAATGAACATGTGAAGTGACTCCAAGACTACAAGCTCTTGATGTCAGTCTGCCAGTTCTCTAAACCAGTAGCAGGCTCTTAGACCTCTAATTTGAAGATGCTCTTCTTTTTATTTACAGCAAGAGTCTGAGCTCAGCTTTTTTTAGCATGGTAGGAAATGGACAATCTGAGCAATTCTTCAGCCTCCTTCATTGCTGAGCTTGTTTTTTCCAAATTGCTGAGAATGCCATGAAAGGAAGAATCATTGGATGTGTTTGAGATGAGTTACAATTCAGACAGTCCTGAATTCTGAAGTGCTGATGCCCAGGACAGCTGAAATTCCAAGAGTTCTCTCTGTTAAGTTTTTGAACTGTGTTTAAATCAACCCTTAAATTTATGCATTATCTGGATTTTTAACACATCTTTTTTATGTCTGCATATATGCTGGAGGAAGCAGTCATTGAGGAAATCCTTCCAGTTTGTGTTTGCATGTCAGAGTAAATGTCTTATGTAAAAAGAAGAATTCAAGTTAACAAACACAGGGTAAGGTGTGCTTGGTCTGTTCTCCCTGATGAGCAGGTACAGGGAAATTGAATTCATTTTCTAATGGCAGAGTGATTCCAATTTAAATGCAGCAAAAGCTGAGGAGTGGCAAGTGATGGTGAAGCAGAAAGAAGATGTCGTGGGAGCTTATTTCAACTCTCAGGTTTTTTGACATGCATATCCTTCCATCAAAGCCAACCTGAAAAAAAAGCAAACTTTAAAAGAGTTGGGGAACGCACCTTAAATTTAAAATGCCTCAACAGAAGTAAGTTGCAGTCTAGTGATGTGTCAGATCACCTCTGCTGCCTGTAGCAGATGTACAGCCAAAGGGCCTGTTAATAAGTGGCTCTGAGATCTTGTTAAAGAGTGGAAATAAATGGTTTGGTTTCCTTAAATGCCAAGGGCCAGATACTCCCCATGGCTAGAATGCCTAGCTGGGCATGCAGCACTGAAGGGGATCAGGTGGTTTTAACCCAAAGAGCTCAACTTTAGTCTCTGAGAATCCTGACTGCTGTGTAAATGTGTATTTGACTTGCTGTTTGAATGCAGGGGACCAGGAGACCAGTTCTGCTCTTCATGGGGGCAAGGGACGTCCACACTTCCCACACGTGTTCTGCAAACTCTTTTCCATGGCTGTGTTTTAGTGGTGCTGGATTCTTTGCATTTCCAGTGCCTTTGGTGAGCACCTGCTGATTGTGCAGGTGGAGAACCCTTGGCAGCATCTAAGGAAAACAGAATAAAATGTCTGAATCCGCAGACACCATTTTGCTGGTTTTTGTTGCTTTTGTTGGAAGTTGATCCTTGAGTTTCCCTGTTAAAAAAGGATTTCTTCAGTTACCCTGGCGGGAAGCTTAGAACAAAAGGAACAATTGCATCAATTACAGAAAGAAAAGCAAGTTTTGGATTGTGCTCCTGGAAATCTCGACTTGTAAATTAACAGCTTTTGTGCGGTAATCACTGGTTTGATGACTCATAAAAACACACGGGAAAAGCAGCCCTGTTGTCAGGACTCCCACTTACACAGGTGAAAGTGTTGTTTGAGCCAAGATGTGGCCTGCCTTGGAATGCTGTTTCTATTATTGTTCTTCTTGTCTCAAGCTATAATTTTTTGGTGACATAGGTCTCTCTTAGTGAGAGAAGAGCTAGAATTAAGAACGCAAAGGGGATTCCTGCTCGTTGGGTGTGTAAATAACAGCTGTCTCTCTTTCTCTCCCTGTTCCCACTTTGGATTTGCTGCAGGTGCATAGGGCCACACCTGGAGGACTGCATTGGGCTGATGGATAGGTACTGGCTGGCTGCTGGCTGCCTGTGTGTCTCCATCCTGCACGTGTGGACAAGGGCGCATGCGTGTGCATGTCCTGGGGCGTGGCAATGACGTGGTTTGTTCTGTAATTGCCTGCAGGTGTAGAGGCCCAGCTAGTCATGACTGCATTTTCTATCCATGGACACGGCAGTCCACTCTGCCCCAGCACGCTAGGTAACATCCCCACCCCATCCTTCACACCTGCCATGTCATAGCAGCCAGTTTGAACACACACACACCTTGTATGCTGGGAGATCTGCCTCCCTGCATCCAAATTTGCTTTCTGTTTGAAAGCAAATTAGGCATTCTGCTCTTTGAAGCTGATTTTTAAAAGTGTTTTTATTTTGAGCTTAAATCAATAAGGATTAAATTCTGAAATTTCCTGTTGGTATTCATTTTACAGATTGAATTTGCAAATTAAATTTTATTAGATGGTAAAAATTCTGGTAAAATTGGAATGCACATGTTTTCTCTTTATTGGGGTTTTTTTGGTGTTGTTTTTTGCTTAAGACAAAATTAAAAAGCAAAAGAGCCTCTTTCTTTCCATATGCCTTCCCTTGAAAATGTAAATGTTATAGCAAAACAAAATTTCTTTCTTACTTCACATGAAACTGTTATTTGATGGTTTTTTTCATTTTCAGTTTAAAAGAAAAATTGTAACCTTGCAGCAATTTTATTTTTCAATAATGACAATTGAAACAAATTAATGTAGGCTTTATTCTGCAATCTTTTTTCATGAAAGCCCTACATTGCTATTGAGTTTGTTCATTCTTAAATTCAAACTGGTTAATATGACTTCTAGGCTTTGGTATTACTCTCCTGAGCTACGATTAGATGAAAAATGCATAAATTCAATCAAACCCACCTCATTAAGATTTTAAATCTGAGTTTTTTTCTTGTCTTTTTCAAAAGGTTTTAAGGTTGCCTTTCCTTCCTAATTGTGTACATAATGTGAATAGACCTATTTCTAGCTTATGAGGGAGAACATATTTGGACTTGAAAAACAGTGCACTATAAATGCTATCAGATGGTACACTTGTTTATTAAATCAGTATCAGTTCTGACTTTATTCATTAACCAATGAATAAGCAGCAGAAGATGAATTTTTCAATATTTTAATGTTTTGTTTTAATCTTTCTGATTTGGGATATCCACTTTGAGATACTTTTGTGGGGCCTCATTTTCAGATGGACTCATCCAAGGAGAGCTGCCCCAGTTTTAAAGGCCCCAATTTCAACATCTTTGCTTAAAGCACATTTACAGAAATAATAGTAATAATAATAATAATAATTAATAATAATAATAGTTATTGTTATTATTTATTTAAGTTTAAGGGCTTTAGCAAACTACAGAAATTAGAGGAATTGTTTTACTCTCTTCAGTGGTTTTACTCCTGCTCCCTTCAGTCTCAAATGTTTCCTGTTTCCTTTGGATCTGATGGATATTTTTTTGTTTGTTTCAGCCTTGCTGAATTTATTCTAGGAAAACTACTGCACTGTGTTTAAATGTCAGTATGTATTCTTTCACTTTCAAGGCAAAGAAGGAAACTTCATACCTCTATAATAGATTTGTGAAATTGTGCTTTTTTTTTTTTTTGTGAAAATGGTTCATTCTATTTGGTCTAAAAATGGGCAAAACTGCACTGGCAAAGTGACACTTTTTTTTTTACAGTCGGGCTGTAAATCCAAAATGGATGTGTTTAACTTCAGATAGAACCTTCTTCATGTCTCTTTAACAGCTGTGCACCCACCTGAGACTTAGAAATCTTAAATTAATTAATAATCAGTCTGACCCTTACCTATTGACTTGAGTTTTGTCCATTGATGTGAATTATCAGTGAGTAGAAGGGGACAGATTTTTCTGCTAAAAGTGAGAGCAGGGCTTTAACCCAAACAAGAAATTCCTCATCTTCTCCTATTTCCATTTTCATAGCAGTGTTGCTTTCCTTTCCAGTTTTTTAGTTTGCAAATTGTTTATGCCATGATTCATTGACTTGAAGGCTTTTGTAAGAGTCTGGTAGAATAGCAAAGAATTCTTTCTGTCATGTTTAATCAAGATGAATCAGATGTGCATTACATGGCTTGTTTTCCAAATGGCTGGTGAAACTTCAGTTTTTCTGCTTATCTTTAGTCCCTTCAAGTTTGTGGGAAAACAACCTTACTTTTGGCAATGCATTTCTTTCTGCATGGTTTGGTTTTGGGGGTTTTTTTAACCTTTAGGTTCAATGGAGTTCTGTCCAAAAGAACAGCTTCTCATGCAGCTTCCTGTATGGATTATTTCTGTAGGGCTTTGGTTTTGGTTCCACCTTCTGTACCAGGCTTTCCTAGAAATTGTCAAACCAAAGATGGAAAGCAGAAGAAGGCTGGAATTTGCCAGGATGCCCAAAGGAGTTATCCATCCTCCTTTCCTGGCTCTTATTACAATGCCATTCCTCCTTTTGCTACCTTCTGGCAGTTACATTCAGTGTTTTTTGTGGTTGGAATAGCACACAATAGAACATTCCGGCATATTCTGGAACACTCAGCAAAACGATGAGTATGTCTGCTCCCTAGATTGGCATAACTGTTGTCTAAAAGGATGATTCAAAAATTATAAAAATAATGCTCTGTTGTTTATTAAGAAAAGACTCTGGAAGTCAGGAAAGGCTGGTTCTTTTCAGGTTCACCAGAAAAATTTGGCTAAGTGCAGTGATTTCCGTGAGAGTGTGGACAAAGCTTTTACCCAAAGTATGAATTTTAATTGGTTTATCCTTGCTAGGCTTCATTCACCTTAATACTAGGAGAGAATAGATCATCAAAGGAGGAGTGAGGTTTCTGTTTTCTGGAGCATGTGAGATTGTACATCTAGAAATGTGATAGCAAAGAACCAGCAGCAGCACTGATGTTCCTGGTCTGAGTAAGCTGATGTCTCTGTTTACGCCCCGAGAAAATTTCATTTACATTTCCCTTTTAACTAACAGAAACTAATTAGCTAGGCCCAGTATTGTCAAGTGCTTCAATAGAATGTTGTGTAGATGTTAACTCTAATTACAATGCTGTTGCTAGTTTTGTATCCAAAAAGGATGTCCTCTCAACAAATCATCATTTCCTCAACAACAACAACAACAAAAAAAGCTGGTTTTTATCTACTGCTTATGTGTACAAGAGCTAATTAACAGTAAACCCTGTGTAATGCAGGCAAATCCTTTCATAGCTGTTTTGTACCCTGTCACAGTATGACTTCAACAGAATTTCACAGCAGCTCTCAGTAGTTGGTGGGGAAGGGAAACCACCTCTAATAAAATGCTTATGTTCATGGTTTTCACAGTGCTCAGCTCCATTGCTTGGAGGAAAGCACTCCATATGCTCTCTGCTTTTATAGAATAATTATATTATTCTGGAGGAGCAGAGGATCTCTGTATAAATAAGAGGCAAAATAAGATCTGTGAGTACCAGTTAAGCTATGTTACTTTGTTGGTAAAAGATGCTGCTCTCAAGAGACTCTTAATATGGAGCTTTCTGAAGCTGTATCAGAACAGAGCAGTTGAAGAAACAGGTTTATTTTTTAAAAATCCAGACTAGAAAAAACAGTTTCAGATACTTCCTCTGTGGGTTGTATACATCTTACATGTCATCAAACAGGCCAAATTCACAGAGTCACAGAATGAGCTAGGCTGGAAAAGACCTTTGAGATTATCAAGTCCAACCTATGACCTAACACCACCTTATCAACTAAACCATGGCACTGAGTGCCATGTCCAGTCTGATTTTAAACACCTCTGGGGACAGTGACTCCACCACCTCCCTGGGCAACCCAATCAATCTTTCTGTGAAGAACTTCCAATGCCCAACATAAACCTCCCCTGGGTCCTCCTGTCCCATTGCCTGGGAGAAGAGACCAACCCCCACCTGGCCACAACCTCCTTTGAGGTTCATGAAAGAGATTAATAGAGAAATCCCAGTTCTGTGGGTGACCTTGCCTCTTCTGAGCTGGTTCTCAAGCCAGACCTTTGCTGAGGGTACTTTAATTCTTGCCATGGCATTTCCCTGCCTGGAGCTTTAGTAGTACCTTTGGAGTACCCCTGGGACATGAATGAAAGTCACTGTGGTCAGTGATCTTGTGACTTCCTCCAGTTTTTTACCACTTCCACATTTTGAGAATGGCCTTCTTGTGAAAGGGTGTAGGTGGGTATTCCTTCTTTCCTGTTGTACTGATAGAATCCTAGAATGGTTTGGGCTGGAAAGGATATTCCTTCTTTCCTGTTTTATGTTTTATGGATAGAATCCTAGAATGGTTTGGGCTGGAAAGGACCTTGAAGCTCATCCAGTTCCAGCTCTCCCTGCCATGGGCAGGGACACCTTCCACAACCTGAGCCTCCAGGCCCCATCCAACCTGGCCTTGAACTCTTCCAGGGATGGGACAGCCACAGCTTCTCTGGGCAGCCTGTGCCAGGGCCTCCCCACCTTCACAGGGAAGAATTTCTTCCTCATATCTGACCTAAATTTCCCCTCTTTCAATTTGAGGTCTGACCACAGATCAGAAAGATTTGTCTGTGATCAGTGAGGGTTTGTGCTTCGTCTGCTTTACTCAGCAGGGTTGGCTGGCATGGACTCATGGTATGGAAGGGCTTAGTAGGGTATGCTGCTGTAGAGAGAAGTGAACTGCTAAGGTTGGGAGAGTAAAAGAACTGAAGCAATTCTCACACAATGCTGCTTAAAATCTCTTCTGTGGCTCCAGTGGTTTGAGGATTCTGTTGAGAGAGCGTAGGGTAGAGTAAGGTCAGAAATCTGATGTTCCTAGAAGTTTGTTCTACAAGGAGTAGAAGGTGGACAATAAACTCCTGCAGGATCTTGATACTGTTGATACTCATTGACCAAGTTTCCCAGCAGCTGTGCTCATTTTTGATAAGAAAATTATTTGTTTGGAAAATGGGCTAAATGGTCTTTACTGAAACTATGAGTAGAAAAAATGATGAGTGATGAAGGCCAAATGTGATAGGTCACTGCTGGAAAAAAGGGAGCAATAGGAAGTGCAAATTAATAAATGGTTTGTTAGAATGGAAAACACACAGTGCCATTGCTGAGGTGATTGCTTTGGTTTCTTATCATCCTTATGTTGTGGGTCTGTATTGATTTGGCTACACAAATAATACACAATGCAGAAATAAAATTGTGCCATGGAGAAGTGACCTTATT